AGGCGATCGTTTTATTGAAACACTATCACTGAGAATAGCATTGGCCTTTTATTATTTCCCCTCTTGACAGGAAGGGGGCATCTGGTCTTCTGAGAGTTTTACGAACAAATTGTGATGGGGGCTCGAGTCTGAGACTCGGACTCGACTCGCACTTAAGTCGCACAAACAGCTGACTTCAGACTTGACTTGAGACTCGACCCAAAATACTTCAGACTTGAACTGCGACTCGACCCAAAAGACTTCAGACTCGAGCTTCGAGACTTGTCAACAACCTGTTTTCATGCAATTATTGCTTTTTAAATCTAAATTCATGAATGTATTTCTATTTTCTTTTATTGGCGCATATATACGTTGGGGAAGCGTATGATGAGCTGCATGCCGTGTCCCCTGCCCTTTGCCATACTGTTCAACGTGCATGCGCTATGCCTATGTGCGCGCCGCGCGAACTCACATATCAGAAAATGCATTGACGATGGCGACACCAAGTCCTCCCGGAGTTGTGCCTTTTGTCATTAGTTTTGGTTTTAATAACTCTACAAACAGTGGCGGTAAGCGAACAGCTACATTCAAGATAATGCCGGATCCACAACGTCGAACTTCATCAGGCACCTCAAAACACCCCAATAGGTCAGTCACTTGCTAATGTGAAAGAGACGTTCAATTTAGCATCGTCACAGGTACAGTAACAAGCTAACCATCACAAAGTGTTGTATCCATATAATGTGACAGACTTAGGTTCATATTTCACCAGGTCCGAGGGCTAGAGGGATGTGTTAAGTAGCAGAAGATTAGACTATACGATGTCGCAACACACTCACGGCAGTTTGTGAAATAGTCACGAAATTTAAATATATTGATTCGTGTACACGTGTATTTTTCGTGTCTCTCAGCACGTTTCCAAATTCGTGTCTCTCAGCAGGGGGACAGATCAGCTGGCAAGAGAGACTTGAGACTTGACTTGGACTCGTAGCAAAAGACTTGAGACTTGAGTTGAACTTGCCCCTCAAAGACTTGAGACTTGACTCGGACTTCCAAAAAATGACTTGTGAACATCTCTGCATGCATCACACAACATTTATATTTATTCATTTAGCTGATGCTTTTATCCAAAATGTGGGTTGTGGTGGCAAACAATTTTATATTACTGAATAAGAGACAAACATATACCAATTGTCTTTAAAGATTATTTATTCCCTTGCAAGGAAAGGTCAACAGTCATACAGTCATTAAAGAGTGGCTGCAGAGTATGACAACGAGAGGAGGGCATCCTTCCTTCTTTATAGCCCCATGGTTATTTATATAGGCCAAATGAAGATATGTCTTAGCCATAACTAACACTTTGTTAGATTTGCTTATGTGCTACCCTTGAGTGCGGCCCTCTGTCTCGTTCGTATATTAGTCACACATGTGGACATATACGAAAGTCATATATTTACACCTATACAAAAGTCATGCACAAACATTCATAAGGGTTAATAACAGTTCTTTGTTCTATCAATGTGGCAGAGAATCATGGGACATCATATGCAATCCTCGTGCATTTTACTACCTTGAACTAATTACCATCATGTTTTCTAAGATTCTATGAATATAAGAAAATGCAAATTTATAGAACATATTACATTTATTCCACAGGGTTTATACAATCTTTTGGATAACTGTTGATGCTTTCAGCTACTAATAAAACTGTACCATCATCTCTGTATTTTTTAACGTGAAATGTATTTCACAGAACTCTGCATATTTTTCCACATAAAAAAATATAATTTAAAGTCCATGGATTATGCATAAAGTCCATGGATTAGGTTACAAATAAGCCATACAACATAACATAAATGATACATCATAAGGAACGACAGTGAAACAAACAAATATATGTGATATTTACACATTATATATGTGTATGTGATAATTGTACACATATCATATGATACATGATATGTGTAGCTACATGATATACATAAATGCAACATTGTAAATATCACTATGATTCTAATCTGGTCACTACGTTTCATAAAGTTTGATATTTGATTTAAAACTGATCAAATAATTGTTTTTGCCCTTTTGAGTGTTTATATGTATTATGTTGCCACTTTTACATGAAAATGATTTAAATTTTAATTTAAATGTAAACATTTAAATATAATTTTGTGTTCAGTGAGTGGAATACAATGATTATTTTAATTATATTTTTATTTAGTTTTATTTCTTACATGTTAATATTTTCTATCTACTTTGCTGTTTGGTTGAAACAATAACCATTTTAAGCATTTCAGAAAAAAAAAATGATATCAAGATATCAAATATTATGAAAAGACTTTTACCCCAAATACTGTATGAAAAAGGTTTTTCTTCTTTTTCTTGATGTGATAATGCAAGAAACATTTTCTAAAGGTGTTTCATTACTATTTTATAAAATACTATTATTCATCACTATTACCCAAGAAGCAATTTTGTTTATTTTCAAGATTGCTCAGATGGGATGATATCTTACTCATAGAGCTTTCAGTTTAATACTGAAATATGACATAATATCGTGCCTAATTATAGTCAATAGTTTAATATCATCTGCCATAATGTAGATTCATCTGACAGGGAAAGCACTATGGGAACAAAAAAGGAAGGAGAAGAGACAGGTGGCAACGTGGCTTTTCACAGCCGAGCCCTGTTCCCATCCACTGTGGGACTGGTTGGGGGCCAAAAAATCCCACACTACAGCAGAAAAAACTGCTGATAAAAATTCAAGCTTTGCCCTGAGAATTTCCTTCAGCTATCCTCTCGGCGCAAGGAAAATGTGCGTGTTTGTGTCTGTGTGTGTTAAATCAATACACGTCTCACATTCTCTCCTTGTAATGAGAGGATGTGCAGTCCAACTGGGGAAGAGTGACTGAGAGAGAGAGAGAGAGAGAGAGAGAGAGAGAGAGAGAGAGAGAGAGAGAGAGAGAGAGAGAGAGAGAGAGAGAGAGAGAGAGAGAGAGAGAGAGAGAGAGAGAGAGAGAGAGAGAGAGAGAGAGAGAGAGAGAGAGAGAGAGAGAGAGAGAGAGAGAGAGAGAGAGAGACCGGAAAAATTAGATTTCAGCAGCAATAGCATCTTCATGATGCTGGAACGCTAATAAACTCCTCCACAACCTAATTTCAACTAGTACACATTTGCTGCATATAAATGCCACTGTGGACACATTAATTCTGCTCTGTCTACTGAAACTCCAGTTACCTGTTCCAATAAAACTAATAACAGCAACCACTACAGCATCAACGACAAGGTTAACGCTTTCCCCCCATTTAACTGAACAAATATGACTGATGATGTCATATGAAAGGTGAAACAAATTTGGTGCAGCCTTGTTTCATTTCCAGCATTTCCAGTTTTCTCAACTGCAGGGCTTTGGCTTAGGCTGTTGTAGAAAAGTCGATTGAAAACCGTGGGTTATTATTACCTTCTCGCACGCTGCTTGTTTTAGTGGTCTGCAGTGTGCAGTGTTAACGTCTGTTAGTGGTCTGTCTCATTGATTCTGGAGCAGCTGGAGTGAGAGGAGAACCTCAGGGCTCTAGGGACACTACTAGCCTTTCACAGTGATCAGAGATCGGTTTCAACTCCACAAAATACAAGCCTTTGTAATCTAACATTTGCAGAGAGATGAAAAACTGTCATCAGAGCTCAGCGAGTGAAAATCGAAAGGGGGGAAGAGAGTAGCAGTCTGAAAAAAAGTGATATGCGGCCTTGCAGACATTCAGAGGGGAACCCACTGTCACATAAAAGATTAATGCAGACCACCACCCTCTTTCTATCTGGACCTCTGAAGAAACAAATACAATGGTGCGAGTTAAACCAAGCCAGGTGTAACAAAATAAATAAATACAAAGAAATCCTATTGTGAGCACCTCAACACTTTCCTAAATACCTGTTTGTCACTGTGCTTTGCAAATTTTCTTGATCAACGAAGTCATTGGGATTTGTTGTTGTCAAGTAAATGTTTTCCATAAGTGGAGCGAAAATGCCTGTATTAAACATGTAGCCTCAAGACATACACTAATAGCATAATTACACTTCATTTCTTATATAATATTAATTAAAGAGGTTCTGAAATGCCAAACGTGATTAAATACAGAAAAGTGGGGCACCATATTTTGAAAAAGTACTTAAATGGCTTGTATGTCCAGGAAAATGTCATGATGACCTCTGAAAAATGCACTTTGGCGTTCTAAATGATTTGTGAGAAGTTAAGTGTCATGTTTTGCCTGGGAAATCTAATTGAGTAAAAGTATATAAGTGTTCAGTTTCAGTGTTTCCAAATGGAGTAGAAGTTCGTATTTTTTGTGGAGTTTACATGATGTTCATGTTTATCAGTGTAAGTGTGAATGGAATCTAGTAGTCGGTTATTACACAGCTCTTAGGAATACTTGATTCTGATTGGCCAATCGTCCCATCCAACAGTGTGACATTTCCTGTTATTCACCATCATCCGCGGCAATACTGTACTTGTTTTGTACACAGTAATGGAAAGTATATAATTTAAAAGACATTATTGGTTGTATTTAAATACATTACCGATCAAAAGTTTGGGGCCATTAACATTTTTTTTACTTTTTGAAAGAGATCTCCTATGCTCCTCAAAGCTACATTTTTGATAAAAACAGCAATATTGGGAAATATTACAATTAAAAAACAAAACATTTTTAAAATGTAATTTATTCCTGTGATGGCAAAGCTGATTTTTCAGCAGCCATTATTACAGTCTTCAATGTCACATGATCCTTCAGAAATCATTCTGATATGATTTGGTGTTCAAAAAACATCTCTATGTTAAAAACAGTTGTACTCCATAATATTTTCTATGCAGTACATTTAGAATTAAAGTTGTATTTTTAATTGGGCACTGTACAAAGTGCCCATTAAAAGGTCTTTCAGCAAATTGAATCTCTTCCGACCTAGACAGACCCATTTGTTCTGACTGTACATTATCCCTCACTTAACAAATCCGTCTATCCTTCTCTTTTAGCTCTGATTGTCCACGAGGGTCCCTCCGTATTTCGCATCTTTAACCGCTGGCAGGCTGTTAATCAGCAGTGGAAAGTCTTAAACTACGACAAGGTCAAAGACAATGAGGAGCACCAGAAGACCTGTGCCACATTCCGGAACTTCTCTCTGCCGCTGCCGCACCGCATGGGGCCGTCCGGCACAGAAGGCGAAGCCTCCACCTCTACGTCTTCCCTCATGGCTGCGGCTGCAGCGGCGGCGGCGGGAACCGTAACCCCCTCCACAAACTCCGTCCTGTTGGCAGCAGGTGCCACGACAGAGCCGCAGGACTCATCTGAGCCCAGCAACGGACAGCCCTCGCTGCCGGACCACCACTGTGCTTACAACATCCTTCATCTCCTCAGCCACCACCTGAGACCCCAGGAGGCACGCGGACAGACCAGCAACAGCAACCGCGAACTGGTCATGAGAGTTACTACAGTGTGAGGCCCGGTTTACGGTGGAATCTCTGCATGCGACGTATTTAAAGAAAGGATTCACTGAAGAGAATCAAACCGTGTCACCCAGTGCAGTGCTGTCCGGGTTTAAGAGAGTTTTTGTTTTTCCATTTTTTTACAGTATTGAATAAAACAAGCAAGCAAGTTTCTCTCGCAGTGGTTACAGGAAAGATTATGGCCATAAAGCTGCATACTAGAAATTATGCAAGCCACTGAGAAAGGTCAAAGGTCAGTGAAGTGTTTGAGTTTATTGTCAGTTCAAGGTCAGAGCTGTGACCATTATGAAGCACAACCTTACCGATGCAATCCAGTTTCTACACTGACAGCCACTGCTGAACTAAAATGGCTCAGAGTGAAGAACAAATGCGTTCTTTGTAAAACACGCAGCATTACACACATTTTCTGATTACTACAGGTTGTATTTTCAGATACAATCCTATTATTAAATGTTAATGCGGCACTTGCGAGGATAAGCAAGTCTAAATCTGTTTCTTTAACCAAATGGGGTATTGAAGAATCAAACTATTGTGTTTACACTTTTAGGCAGTTTTTTTAGGGAAATCAATCCTCTCTGATTTTGACAGTCTTGTACACCAACAAATAGGAAACCACGTTACAGTGGAGACAACGTGCAGCAAGCAAACTACTACTACTAAAAAAACAGACTCAATTTGAGGCAAATCTCTTGGACTTATTTTGTTTACATTTGTTAAATATGTGAGAAAAAAAGGTTGCTACATTAAAAAAAAAAAAAGACAAATCCAACTGGTTTAACTGTTGTATGTGTCTGTTTCTCTTATGCAAGAGAGTATGCAAGAGTTGACTCCAGTCACAGAGCATATTCAATTAAATCATTCATTTAAATAATGCATTTTATGTGCTCCAATGTGTTTGCTTTCAAGCAATCAACAGCTCTTGGAATGTTTACATTAATCCCATTTTTATTATAACACTTATTTTTTTCTTAAAACAAATACAGACAGAAAGTGGATCTAAGTGGCTGAGTGATAGACAACAGGAAACAGCACCAGTGCCGGTGGGTCTTCTGGCTTCTGTTTCTGAGTAATCATATCTGCCTTCCCCTTCTGGTAATGGTCCACTCCTCTATTTCTTTCTCCTTAGATTCTTAGATCCTATATATCCAATAACAACTTGTGCAGAAATACTCACATATGATCATGTGACATTATTAGCTTGCATGTTTGACTAGTTTAATGCATTTGATGACAGAAATGAGGCGTGTATCTGTATATTCTGAAGAAACGCTTAAATATACGAGTGTGGGATTGACGATTTAGAGGTGAAAAGAATACATAGGCCATATTATGTTTGAATAATCATGGAACAGAAAAATCATTGCATACTATGACCTAACAATTAATAATTAGTTGAAGCAATGCCAATCATTCACAGCACTTCTCTAAACAAGGTTAAATGTACACCGAGAGAAGAGAGAGAGAAGGAGTGAGTGTGACAACAGCTTTCATTGACTGCTTTTAAACATGCGTTCAAATACAATCGCTGCTGCTGATAATGATGTCAAATTGTGGTTGGTTCCATGTGAAACGAGAAAACCTCCAACAGAGGGCCAAGGCACAAGATAATGTAAGTGTTTTGACATTTCCTTCACTGGGATCCAGTGGAATTCCAGGGAGATGGATACATTATAGTCAGAATGTATAAAAGAAAGTAAAACTATGAATGGAGGAATGTTCCATCTACTCTATCAGTGTCTTTGTTTGCTCCTCCACAGCGACCTGCAGATGATGATGATGATGCCCTGCTACTCCAGTTCCACGAGTAGATCTCCCTCTCCGACTGTATCTCCAGCTTTACAGTGCACACTCTTCACCTGAACAACAACACACATTAAATGAGAAAGGTCCATGCAGTCTGCATCTGAAAAAGCTATTTGTGTTCACTAATTTAACAATGTCAATCAAACACACGTTGGACACAGGAAGCTTCCCAGAGAAACAATGGAGAAAATTATTTAATGAGAAATGAATTACGAAAGATGGTAAGAGGTTTTATGTTTTCATTTTAATTAAAACACATGAGTATCATCATTGCAACCATTTGGCTTCATTGTTTCTTCACCCATACGCATTTGTATTCCTTCCTATATAAATGCATATGGATGATTCTTCAATTAAGAGAACCCATTGGTCCCCTAGGATCATTTTAAAGTGCTTTTAAATATAAAATCAATAACTCTAGTTTAAAAAGATAGATATTAATAGCTTTAAACTTTATAGTGCCTCTTCTATATGTGTTATATTAAAATCAGGGAAATTCCATTTTGCACTCTTCCTAAGAACCTACAATCATATTTTCATTTATTAATTTAGTATGCATTTTTTTTATTACAGAAACACTATCTTCAAGACTGCTCTCATTACATTATATATATATATATATATATATATATATATATATATATATATACATCCATTCTATATATATATATATATATATATATATATATATACACACACATATATATATACATACATATACACACACACACACACACATATATATATATATATATATATACATGCATATACACACACACATACATACATATATATATATATATATACACACGCACACTCTCTCTCAACAAACCTACCCAGTTCAGATATTTCATTTTTTTTATGTAGTATTGAGATGTACACTACCATTCAACAGTTCAATTTTATTTTAGAGAGACATTAATACTTTTATTCAGTAAGGATGCATTAAATTGATCTAAAATGACAGTAAAGATATTTATACACTACAGTTCAAAAGTTTGTGGTCAGTAATTCTTTTTGTTTTTGAAAGAAATGAATACTTATATTCAGCAAGGATGTGTTAAATTGATAGTAAAGATTTATATTGTTAGAAAAGATTTCTATTTTGAATAAATGCTCGTCTTTTTAACTTTTTATTCATCAATGAATCCTGAAAAAAGTATCACAGGTTATACAAAAACATTAAGCAGCACAACTGTTTCCAACATTGATAATAAATCAGCATTTTAGAATGATTTCTGAAGGATCATGTGATGCTGAAGACTGAAGTAATGGCTGAAGAAAAATCAGCTTTGCACAAACAGAAATAAATTATATTTTAAAGTATATTAAAATAGAAAAAAATTAGTTTAAATTGCAATAATATTTCACAATATTAAACTTTTTTTCTGTATTTTTAAATCAAATGAATGCAGCCTTGGTGAGCATAAGATACTTTTTTTCAAAAACATTAACAACCACAGTTTCTAAACTTTTGACCAGTACTGTGCATATACAGTTTTTAATTTTTATTTCAGTTTTAGTTATTCTAGTACACATCAAACTAATTGAAAATGAGAAGCTAGCTGACATTTGTATACACACACACACATATACATACATATATATATATATATATATATATATACATATATACATATATATATATATATATATATATATACATATATACATATATACAGTATAATAACCATGGCATGAAGTACAATAAAGTACTGCTGTCCATCAAAAGAATCATAAACACCATGACCACAGTCTGGTTTCAGCCCTCTGACAAGAAGGGAGAGACTTTCACAGTAGCTAAGTGGTCTGGTCAGAATACAAGTATGGATAATGGACTGTGGCCCCTTGATGTCTCTCTCTCTCTCATGGTGTTGAGTACTGTAATGTAGCTGATGTATGTGGAAGAGTATGTTCTATATGTCATATCGATTTATGATGCACAGAGTAGTGAGCAGGATTATGTATCAACGTGTGTGTGTGTGTGTGTGTGTGTGTGTGTGTGTGTGTGCGGGCTCACCTTGGCTGCCTTAGCTGCGGTCATGCTGTTCTGCATCTTCATGGCCTCAATCACACAAATCTCCTGTCCCTCTGCAACCTTCAGCACACACGCAGATATATGAACAAAACCCACAAGAGGCATTCCACAATGACTACTTTCTAATAACGTCTTGAAATGTACAATTCACAGAATATCTCCCTTCACATATTTATTAACTTCATAGACTAGTACATAAAACGACCTCAGCACAAAGAGCAGGGTAATATTGTAATATCATTTCATAAAGGAGCATGCATTAGAAGAGTGATAACGGTTAACAAACGAACAAAGCTCGCTGTAACGTGAGAGCAAAATCAATAAAAGAAACCTCTGTTTATAGCTATCAAACTCTCCATTAGGGAAATGGATTATGGAAATAAGCGAGCACTGAGGAATAGCTGTTTCCCTCCATCCACAAGGAATAATTTCTGTCTTATCTATGCAGAAGTGGTAACATCAGGTGGTGTGAACGTCACTGCTGTGTGTGTGTGGAGACTAATCAGCGTGAGAGCTGTTCATTGCAGTGTTCGTGTGTGCGTGAGACGTTGCTGAGTGAATGAGATGTTTTACTGGAAGAGCTCAGATGTATTAGTCGGAGCCAGTCGGTCTGTGCATTATATATAAGTCATTAACAAACTGAGTCAGGACACATTCAATTCAACTTGACAGCAACACGCGCACACACACAGAGACATTTTGTCATATTGAAGGGCACTGTCAGCTTTACAAATGATGTCATCCAATGCAACCCACGTAATTTAAAGGAATAGTTCCCTCGAAATAGAAAATTCTGTCCTCATTTACTCGTCATTTCAAACCTGTATGACTTTCTTTGTTCTGTGGAACACAAAAGGAGATCATTTGATGAACACCTGCTTGGGTGAATTTAATACAATAGAAGCACTTCAGGACTCACTTTAACACTTAATAAAGCACCTAGAGTGTGAGCAACTAAGCACAAGTGGCTCATTGATTTTTTCCCAAGTGCTCTCATTGTTTATATTGAAAAACAACCCAGTTCTTAAAGCTACACAATGTTATTGTTTTTTAGTCAAAATGTAAATAACGAGGGAGTACATCATAAATCCATCTCCCGTGTTTTTGCTTTATCCGAAAATCACTACTGTAAGTTTGGATTTTCAGAAATACATTTAGTTAACATAGCATCACATTGCTGTGTATTGTTGTGCAACAACAGCCAAAATGCATCATGTTCCTGTTATCACTGTAAAGCTGCTTTGAAACAATCAGTATTGTATAAAGCGCTATATAAATAAAGGTGACTCGACTTGACTAGGTTCGCAAAACTATTAGACTATGTTAAACTATGTTAAATAACGATGTTATTTTTTACTTTTGCACTGCTAGAGAAAGTAGTAAATTGACTTCTATTTTTATAACAAAATCTGCCTCCCGGGGGAATAATTTATAACATTGAGTCCACTGAGAAGTCTTCTGTCTGATTTGAAATCCTTTTTATTTAGGTCAGATTCAACTTACCTAACCTGAGAATAATAAAAAAATAAAGTAAAGGTGTCGAGTTAAGCACCCTAAAACAATAAACATCCATTTTGTATCATTTATTTATTTATTGAGTTTTGTTGACATTGATATTTGAGTGTCATTCACACCGAAAAGACAAATCACCTGTCCGGTACCCATGGGCACACCAGTGCACCTCGAGCCATCAGATTCATCCACGCAGAACAGCGGAAGCACTCACACAAACGTTACGACACAAATTACTTGTAGTTCTATAATTTAATCGCTAGTTACAAAGTTACATAATGTAGCTTTAAAAAAAAAAAAAGAAGACATTTCTTTGTGTGCCATCTAGTGCTGCATACTCCAGTCCAGTTAGTGGCGGAAATGTGCCATTATTCACATTTATTTTAAACCAATATAAAATTTCTACTGCATTTCTACTGTCCAACTGCAGTTTTTTCTTTTTAACCAAAACTGAGCGGAGAACAAGGAAAATGGTAAGCCACATGTACTTTTTTGCAGCATGAGGGTGGGTAAATTTTCATTTCTTGTTGAACTTTCCTTTAAAGATAAAGTGTATACTTTCATACTACATGTATTGCTAATATCCCTCGATTCTTTTTATCTTGTGTCTAACTAACTGGCATTTAACTGTCTGATTGTTTTTATGTGTAATATTTAGAGGTCAGCTTCCTTAAAAGTTGCAGTTATTTGGAACAATTCACCTAGCGACCTTTAAGCAATCCAGACTGAATTTGAATCCATATCATAAAGTTAAACAGAGAAAACGAGAGTAATATAGTTATGCTGAATGTGCAGTATTTCCAGTAAGTCACTTACCCTATCCCCTGGTTTAACAGACACAGCCACCACTGATCCTGGCATGGGAGAGCGGAGAATACTGCTGGTGTCTTCAGGAACCTTCTCTGGCATGTGCTTACTGAGGGACGCTGCCAGGTTACTCAGCACACGCAACTTAAACTGAACACATGAAACACAGAGAAATGGGTACACAGATACCTCAATGAATTAAATACAGAAAACTACGATGCTATAAACAACCAAAAGACAAACACTCCAGAAGACAAACACATTTCATCATTTATTTTAGCAGCATAAAGTCTAGTGGACATCTTGTTCAGACCAATAATTTCATATTAGTCTTAAACTACACACCCAAAAACTTTTTTATGGAAAATGACTTTAGGTGGATGGAAATGCTGCAGAACATACCCATATATTATGCCCATGTACATTTAATTTACCTGATACTAAAGGTCTCAAAACTAATGTTGAAATTTCATAAACTTATTTTTGTGTGTAATATGATTCAGACAGGGTCATGATTTAGCTGGATATAAGGTCCCTGTGAGGCCCTGCTGCTTGATGCCGTAACTGCATCCGCCTCCACTGACAGTCATTCAAAATTAGAAGTGTATTCTGATTGTGTTTTTGTGAGCAACATACACTACAGTTCAAAAGTTTGGGGTCAGTAAGATTGTTTTAGAAAGAAAGAAATCTCGTATGCTCAGCAAGGATACATTTATTTGATCAGAATACAGTAAAGTGAGTAATATTGTAAAATATTATTACAATATTTATAAATATTAAACAGAAATATGACACAATGGTTTTAAATTTTAATATATTTTGACATTTATTTTATTCATGTGATGGCAAAGGTGAGTTTTCAGTTTAATGCATCTTTGCTGAATAAGTATTAATTTCTTTACAAATATTAAAAATCTCTCTGACCCCAAACTTTTGAAGGATAGTATATATATATATATATATATATATATATATATATATATATCACTAACATTTCATGTTTTACCAGTTCCCGCTCTTTTTTAAAGGCTTTAAATGAACTAATTTCTCCCCTTTTTATGCCACAGTTAAAAAAAAAAAAGCTTGGGACACACTATATGCACATTATTCATGTGATGCGCTGCCATCAGGCAATCATATACTTCCAGGGGGATCCAGTGAAAAAAAGTGCCAATTACATAAATGCTAACTGATGGCTTTCTCTGTGTATTTCAGACCTACTTATGGCAACATACGGTCAGTGAACAACTAGGCTAGGCTGGCCTGGTCTCCCATGATATTCTCCTAAGCTTCCCATCTCCTCCTTTAGATGGCAGCACAAATCGGTTTCCAAACACATGCCGAACAGTTTATTTTACTTTGTGAGTCTCAGACAGATGAAAGGCTCTGTCAGTGCCCAGTCTAATTCAATTAACAGACGAGTGAAGCCTGGCCCTCCGCACTGCTCAATGAATGAAAACCGGTTTTGTCAATTTAACGATTACCGACGCAAACTCCCACAAACTCTCAGTCTCTCTCACAGTAGCAGCAGTATGCCAAGAGCATCAGCCCCCTGCTCTCCATACAGACACTAATGGAGCGCCATTAGCTCATAACAGCCTGCAGAGCAAATGAAGAGCTAATTAATACAGTCACATAAAGAACAGGCCACTGAGATGGATATTTGAGTACAGTGGGGGGGTCATACCTCCAGGGCCATTTTCAGAACTCAAAACCTTAGCAAATGCTTAATTTATATGTCAGTAAAAGCAATTATACCATCCGGTTACATTAAGGTATTTATCTGACAAGAACAAATTGGCATATATATATATATATATACACACACATACGTGTGTGTGTGTGTGTGTGTGTGTGTGTGTGTGTGTCTATAGTTTCTAAAAAACCTATTTTTAATGCTGGATGTTGTCTGTCCTCAACAAAAGAGCCAAATACTTTTTTTACTACTAGTTCTTTACAAGTTTCTCACCCTCAGTGGCACTTCCTGACCAGTGTGTCATTGTGAAGACCCCCCTGTATATTTGTGATGTAATATCTGTGCTATATTTAGCAAAAAGGAAAAGGTGCCACACTAATTAATCACTGGGTAGCTCTCTGAAGGGAATATGTCTGCTTTCCAGGAATTCAACAAAGGAAGCCTTACATCATTCTGCTAAACTCAGGTCACACACAGTAATGAAGGGTGATGATTCTGTGACCTGGGTCAACTCACTAAATCTCTGAGCAACAAGGTGAAGTCACAACTGAAATATTTAGATGTTACCAGAATGTGCTTATGAGAAGTACTACAACATAGTGGGTACTTGATCTAAATCTAAAAAAAAAAGAAGAAAGTCTGGGACCACTACTACTACTTTTCCATATTGTATCATTCCAAATTACACTACCGTGCAGGTAGGGGTCAATATTACAATTTAAAATAACTCATCTGTTTTGATAAACTTTAAAATGTAATTTATTCCTGTGATGGAAAAGCTGATTTTTCAGCATCATTACACCAGACTTCAGTGTCACATGATCCTTATTATCAATGTTGAAAACAGTTGGTTGGTTGGTTGGTTGGTTGGAAACAAGGTAACATTATTTTAAGGTGACATATTATTTACTTTACTACATGTACTTACTGTAGTAACTAATAACAGTAAATTATGCATAATTACACGTAACTTACACTAAACCAAACCCTAAGTACATGTAGTTAGTTAATAGTACTCAGTACTTATTTGAGTAAGTACAATATAACTACGTCACCTTAAAATAAAGTGTAACCCAAAACGAAAACACTACCACTCAAAGTCTGGAGTTACAAATTAATTCGCAATTACTTAAAAAAAAAAAAAAGCCTCATCTGTGACTGACAGTTATGAATGGATACAGATTAAGGATGGATAAATATCTTCATCTCTGTAAGTTTCATGAAGCATCCAAAAAGTCAATCACACCTATGGGAAGTGCTAAAACTTCACCTGAATATTTTTTATAAGTCGACCCTTCCAACCCTGTTACAGTACACCTTTACCTGACCCATTCATTTCAGGTCTTGGAGTCTCTTCTAACAAGCTGAGTTGAATCAGGTGGGTTTGATTAGGAATAGTTTGAAACAGTAGTGTTGATTGGTGTGCCTCCAGGAACAGGGATGGGAAACACTGGGTTAGTGAAGGCAGTTTGAAGTGCTCTACTAATGGTCTCACAGAATTTCTAAGTGCGATTCCTGAGAAAAAAAACATCTATATTACTTTTCTGACAGGAGGAAACCCTAAAAACTTTGAAACTCTGGTTTCTGCTGGCCCTGACATGGAAACAGACAAGCACTGAACAAACCACAGCCCCACTGATCTGTTAACATAGAATGAACGGAAGGCATCCCATAATAGCCGTGACCCCATGGAAACTTTGAAACAAACCACCTCAGAAGGACTTTGAAGCAGAGACCCCCCATGAAGCACACGCGTGTGCAGCCTGGAAGCCGGCATTTCCTCTTCTTTTACAGAGTTACTGTGTTTTTAACCCTGTTTGTTTGTTTAAGCTTGCAGAACGTTGATGCTGATTGTTTAGGTGGCTTTGGGTAAACAAAGACAGGACGGCTTGGTTTGATTTGTAGTTGGGTTGAGACACCTGTGCCTTGAGTGTGAGTCTGTGCGTTTGCGTGTGTGAATGTTTGGTAGATCGACGGGAGTGTAAAGACAGGATACATGCCCCAGTGAGTGACATAATATAGCATATATCACCCAGCATGATGTTCACAGAAAAACACCACAGAGTGCTCATGAACACACAAACAAAGGCACGATCATACCAAGAACGATGAATATAACGATAACTATATTGGCGCTCACAACAACGGATGATAATGTTGTTTATTTTCATTAAATGCTCAAGCATCTTAAAGTCAGGTGGATTCTGATTGGCTTGCAACATTTTTTTTATCCCTCGGGAGCTGGAAAACATTCTGAAAGTGATTCCAATGACACTGTTCCTCTGTGCAGTTATCGTTATTGCTGTGGTGTGGAAGTCCATATTCTCATAGAATCTCATAGAATGATTATTAAAACTGTATAGTTATTATATTTATTATCCTTGGTATGCACAGCTTTTTAGTTTACGGCCATATACAGCTACAGAACAGTGCACATAAGAAACACTTGAGGACGAACTAACACAGAAACATCTAAGATTAGCTACAAAATGTCCCATGACAACATTAATTTTAGCAGTGGTTCTCAACTGATGGGTGAACAAATCAAAAATGTGTTTATTCTGACAGGGTCTTAGATAACAGGGGGGGGGGGGGGGATAAATACAAATAAAATGAAATCAACCATATAATTAGGAATGGCTAGGATAGAAATATAAATATGCTTATTAACTTTTAAAAGAGGAGTATTTTGGTCATTATTGCCCAAATTGTTCTTTTTTTTGCCTTCCATTATTGTTCAATCAAACTGTGCAGTATGTTGGCACAAATTTATCTTTCACTTGGTAGAAAGCAAATTAAGCAGAACACATGCTGACATGCTCATCCTTAAATAAAATCCTCATCCATTATTAACTAAAATAAATGACAAAGTATGCAAGACAAAAGAAAATATGACCATCACTAAATTAAATGCAAGCTTATTTACAGCATGGATAAACTTGGATAAATGTGTGTGCTGTGGAAAAATAGTAGCTTAAGAACACTAAAAAATAATACATTCCAATGTTAGAATTGTTTTGATTAACACAGTAGCATAAAATTTGCTACTATGCTGGGTCACCACTTTATCTCCAATGTATAATCTGGGTTTTGAAGTAAAACCAGTTGAGAACCATTGACATACAGTTTATATTGGTAGGTGTCACTATGAGGTGCTTGTTTAAAGACTTACTGAAGTGCCCAGATACTGAAGGGTGATCTCCCCAGCCGCTGTCCGCAAGAGGCACTGCATTCAGAGAGGAAACATTAAGACATAAAGCCTGTTAGTGTCTTTGAATGTATATTGTGGTGGGCCTATACCACAGCGATGGTGAATTCTTCATTCTGATTGGTTGACATGTTAGTGTCTCTGTAACGATTCTGGAGTGCCGCTGTTTATTTTGCAAATGACCAACTATTGCCTGTCTAACTAACTAACTAAATAAATATCACATATTGATTTAATCTACAGAAATAAATCATGCAGTGATAAGAGCAACAATTGCCTGGAGGCTGGTCAATTTAGAGTATAGCCATCTTTTAAAAAAATAAAATAAAAATAAAAATCGTTATTTTATAGTTGACCAATCAGAATCAAATGTTCCAAAGAGCCATGTAATAAGTTGAATAATTGACTCTGGACCAGTGGCGAGGCGAGGAATCTCCAAGTGGGTAGATCTTTGTGAAATAGGGTGGATCTCTTTTCTGTGCCTCTATCCAATTATATAACTTATTATAATAATATCAAAGTGGGTTTTTCCCAAGAACAATCCCAGTAAGTGTGACATCATCAAACTTATAAATTAAAAAATAAATTAATACTAAATATTAAAAAAGCTAGACAATTTCCTAAAAATTTCCATCTGAGAGGATTGATTGGATTGAACAATATCCATATTGTTATTGGATTGAACAATAACGCATTTACACCCGTAGTGTAAATTTTACTACCTCAAGTGTGCATTACTTTACAACAATTCATCATAACTTTTCAATAATGGACCAGAGCTAGTTATTCCCTACATATGCGTATGTTTGTGAACCTGGAGAGTCCTGTGTTTGCCGTTGATGGTGATGGGCAGGAGTGCTGAGGCCAAGTTCCATTGTCCAGACACTTCAACCTTCTCTCCATCCATCTCCACCTAAACCAACAAACAAAACACACAGTGGGAGTTTGACATAGGACAACAAAAGTTATAATTGTTATATTTGAGTAACTATGTGTGACAGAGTAAAAGACAGAGCTGATCTGTGAGACAGAAACAGCGAGACAAAGAAATCCAAATGTAAGTTTCTGAACCCATGTAAGGTCATTCAGTAGTTTCTACACCCAAATCCACCTGATGCCTGTTAGGGGAGGTGGGGGGTTTCATGTAAGTCTTTTCTTTAAACCAGTGTCACTGGTCAAACTGATTACCCTCAGCCCTCAAACACTTGTCTAAACAACAGTTCTGAATAATCAGTCACATTCCCAAAGCATGCTGGGACACTGGAAACTCCAGGGCCATCTGTGGAGCAGGGGGTCCAGTTTGATGTGCAGTTGTGGGAGAGAAACACACATGCAGCCCTCAGCTGTAAGAGCAAGAGAGAGAGGGGTCCACGGAGATCAGGTGAGGCCCCTGAACCCCCGAGGCTCTTTTTATCCTTGACTGAAGGGCCACAGGTGTCTAAACACACAGTTAGTGAGTGACGTCTTAGGGAAAGTGTGAGAGCAGCGGCTCTATGAGGGTCTTTCAGTAACAGAAGAGGAAGACACACAGATCCTAAAGTGATTTAGGCTCAAGAGTCGAGGGATTGATTTCAATGCAAATACTACCACAGAGGACATTGTGTTAGACATTAGTGAGGAAGCAGGAGCGCTCAATGGAAGTACTATATAACAGAAGCAGAGAATGGGCCTTCTCACAGAAATCAGCTGGATAGGCAGGATGAGTTATGACCTTAATGAGGACAATATTTGTTGCTGGAATTGTGTGAAATCTCTCATCTTTGCTTATGGGAACCACAGAAGTCAATCACTTGAGCCATAAATGTTAATCATGTTACGCATCACTATGCAGCCACTAAAACATGTGTTGGCAATGCTGAATAAAATAAAATAAAATAATAAAATTAAATTAAATGTAGACCCCTTAATTAGGAAATATTTGCACTTTATCTACTTCTGAATGGCCATTAATGGAGAAAGATTGGGTCCAGACTTCAGATGGTGTACTTAACCATGCTATCTTTAACCATGATATCCAAACCATGTCAAAATCGGACAACAATGTTAATGAGACATGACCAATTATTTTTACAGGAAATTATTAAAGATAAAAAGGAATAGGATCGAACCAGTATCCCCCACATGAGGACCACTCCTCAATGTGTCAAGCATAAATGCACCACAGCTCCTACATGTGGAAAATAAACTGAGATCTGACATGAGATGTGATATTTTAAACACTTTCACTCACATTATAGTTGTTTCCAGACCGAGACACACCCAGCATGTGAACATCTTTATCAAGTTCCACACACAACTCCCAAACTCTGCTCTCTACAGGAACACTGGATACCCTGGAACACAACACACACAGAGAATGTTTATCATCTGTCATACCAGGCGTAACAAATACACTTTCTTTTTCCTCTCACTATAATCTCTTTGCTCACAAATCTCTCACTATTATCATTTTCAATTATACAGTTTCTCTCCTCTACAGATGAATTAAAAAACACAACAAACGTACACACACACCACCTGGTCACTGGCTGTTTGACTGACAGCTCTTCTGCTAGGAGACCTAAAGTAAATGTATTAGGAGGAATGCTGTGTTTTTCCACTATGGTGGGCTGCATTCACTACAAAGAGAAAGCCCACCCCCCACCAATAACTTTTGAAACGCATAAAAAAAGAGAAAAGAGACAGTGGAGGGGGAAACTGGAGAGATGTTTAGACAGATGGTCTCTCTGCATCTTTTTTTTACAAGTGTAAATTGGTCTTCTTTTCCAGATGAAGAATAATTCATGAGTGTTTTATTGGCAGAGTCTGAAAGGTACATTGCCAACCAATTAATTTACACTAAAAGGATCATTTTATATTAAATACAACTTGTGTTGGGTGGTTACTTTCAAAGCAGTTTGATAGTTGCATACACTAAATGTTTATTCACAGTGCTGTATGCTTGTAAGTGGATTACTGCTAAGCGCATTTCCTGTTTGTTTGTACATAAGGTGGTTATTGTCTGAAGCTTGCATTTACGGTTCATATGGAACATGGTGCTCTCTCAAGACATGAGCTCTCTCTCTCATAAGCACTGTGAGATACTAGACTGCTGCAGATCTTTAGAAATTTGTCTGAAAACGCTGGATGGTGAGAAGATCCAGTTAGATTATTTATTACTATCCAGTGTTCAACAATAAGGATTTCTTCTGCTGGCATTTTACAACACTTTTCACTTGGCCTTCCAACACTTCTCACATTCTCCAACATATTTTTTTATACATTTAAATTTGTGTTTATATCGTGTCCTTCAAAAAAACTAACCAAAAAAACCCCCCGAACAAATCATTTGTTTTCCATTTGCAATAATTGCTAGTAATTTTACAGCTACAATATAACTAATGTAATAACTTTACAAACACTTTTGTTGAAAAATGATGCCATATGGTGCAAAACGTTACCGATTTGTTTAGAATAGAGACTCATTCTAACTCGTGCTACCAAGACTGTCATAAGTTATTCTAACAATTTCACCAAAACATCATCTTTTATGTGAGCCAGCTATACAATGTTACCCTTTTGACATACTTTCATCAGCAGAGTTTATAAAACAACAACAACAACATTCAAAACATTGCAGAAATTTTTTTAAGTTTCATAAAAAACAAGTGTACATGAACAATGGATTTAAGATTTAAAACCCAAAGCTCTCTCGGCAGTTCTTCCATAAGACACAGAATATCACACAAAACAATGGAAAACATTAAACAAATAATGGAAACCCGGATTTTCCAAGCTCTTATGAAGACAAAAATCTTGATGGATTATTATATAATGTACTAGTAGACATACTCTAATGTGCACTACACAAAACTCGCTCACCAGTCGATTTATGAAAACCAAGCTAAAAATAAGAAATGGTTATTCAAATATCATCCTAGTTATGATATCATAACTATAAGCACATTCATATGTGAACAGCCATGTTTAGATATCAATGCCAATTTGATATTCAGCAGTCATTGTTAAGACCCACACCAAGAAAGATAACTATAACAGTAACTATATTGGCATTTGCACCAAAGGACGATAACGTTCTGTTTATTATGTGGTGTGGACTTCGCTATTCTAATAGAATGAGAACGATTATTAAAAGTGTATAGGTAGGTATAGTTATTATCGGTGTGAATGGGGCTTTATGTTTGTTTAATGAAGGTCTAATAAGAGTCATAGATAACTGGGAAATGGTATTGTGAAATACTGTTTAAAGGGTCATGAAACCCACAACCATGTGTGAACATCATTGAAGTCAATGTTAGCATCCATTAGTTTTTAATGTAGGAGAAAACTAGTAAATGTTAAACCGTTTTGAGCTATTTTCAACTTGTTTTTGTGTCTGCATCACAGGATGTGACGTTTTCTTGTGTCTCATAATTATTAATGAGACTGCGTGTCCTTATCCAATGAGAAGAGGCCTTGCTTAATTATTCATGACAGCACGTGTTGAATTCCTATGCCAGGCGCTTCAAACAGTGAGATCGCATACAGTAAGTGAGATGAATTAATGGTTCAAAAATAAGTGTTCGTTTTTGCTTTGTAAGAGTTTCTGCTTCACATAAGTTCTCTTCAATAGATCTTGAGTCTTCGGCACAAACACGATTCATCCACACTGTGAGTGTAACCGGTCTTAGCGGCAATTTAACCGATCAAACAGCTTATAAAAACGAAGCAAAATAAGCCTCAAAAGTGATCAAAGATGCAACAGCGTGTTCATATATATTTTCGACAGAGAACAAATGTGAATGGCTGTGCATTTATTTGTGCATTAAATTATAGCGGTCACAGGATATGTATGTATTTATGTAATTTACAGTGAGCTTACAAAACCATGTGTACATTGTGTTGCAGGTAATGGTAATTTGCAGAAATAAAACTGTCTGAATCAGAAGCCGGTGCAGTGTTGCCTGTCTCTCCTTAACCACGCCCACTTCTGTAGCATTTTTCAAAAATTGTGGTGAGAACTGACTGCAGCTGAAACAGGGGGTTTCATGACCCTTTAACTAAATTACTGTTTTTGCTGGGAAAAAGACAAAATGCTACAAGAGTGCAGTATAGGCCCCTAACCATCGTAACTGGTAGTTGTCAGCGTGTGTAATCCAGATGCCCCATCTGCCTCTCACCTCAGATCTCCCAGGAACTTCTGAGAGCGAAGCTGTGCTGCTACATAGAGTGCCGCAGCCGTAGCCAGAAGCTCCCGTCTCTCTCCTGCTGTTAACATGTGACCTTTGAACCCATCAGGATACACCTCCGGGAGAAACTTAGTGCTGATATCACCAGACACAAACCGTGGGTGAACAATGATCTCTCTCAGTAGAGGAATGTTATGGGTCACACCTGAGCAAATGACAGAATAAGAAATGAAAGAAATTTGTATTTGGAATATTTTCACATTTAAATGTTTTTGCATACTACTTTATGTCATTTACCTCGGATGACATAATTATCAAGCGCGTTTTCCATTTTCTTCAGAGCTTCTTCTCGTGTTTTACCATATGTGACCAACTAATCAATGACAACAACAGTAAATCAATCTGACATTTTAAATCAAATGAGACTGTTACGATGGTCTGGTATTATTATTCTATTACCTTGGAAATCATGGGATCATAATAAATACTGATGTCACTTCCTTCCTCAATTCCACTGTCTACTCGAACCTTCAAGAGAAAAGCAAAACTGAATGACAATTATCATTCAAAAAACCTAATTTCCAAAAACGTTAACACTTTATAATAACTGCACCCTATTAATTATTAGTTAAGCATTAGTAAACAGTTAATTCATCATTTATAAAGCATTAATAGACATTATTAAGCCGTTTATAAATACAGCTCAGCTATAAATGCTTTATTCTTGATTTATAAGCATATCTATAATGTGTTTAATAATTGTATTTTCATACTTCATTTAGAATTGATAAATTGATCATTTAATAAAGTATTGCATTATTTACAAACCATTTATTTTGGAGTTGTCAGTGGTTCATAAGATCCCTTAGAAAGTGTAAGTAAATGATTAATAAACTATTTAAATGTACATTCATACATATTATTCAGACACATAGTAATAGCTACCTAGTGTGTTAATAAATGCTTTATTAACATGCATTTCTACTGTTATTCATGGTTAATTCAGGTAGTTATAAAGCATTTAATAGTGGTCAGTTAACTATTTTTGTGAGCTTATCTAAAGTGAGGACTATTTATGCCTTGTAAAGCATTTACAAAGGAGATTTAAAGGTTCAGTTTTCTTCTAAAAAAAGGAAACAAACACAACACAGTGATACAGAACATATAAATATTTAAGATGTATGAATGTACATTTAAATATTTATTAATCATTTACTTACACGTTCTAAGTGATCTTATGAACCACTTACAACTCCTAAATTACTGGATTGTAAATAATGCAATACTTAATTTAGAAATAATAAATTGATAATTAATAAAGTATGAAAATACAATTATTAAACACATTATAGATATTCTTATAAATTAAGAATAAAGTATTTATAGCTGTATTTATAAACTGCTTATTAATGTCTGTTAATGCTTTATAAATGATGAATTAACTGTTTACTAATGCTTAACTAATGATCAAAAGCGGGCAGCTATTATAAAGTGTTACCCCAAAATCTTCATGCATAAAGTGTTTTAGCAGAATGTCTAAAATAATTTAAGAAAATGTTCATATATAGCCATGAAATGTGTCCTGCATTTCCATGTGAATTTTTCAAAACAAACCTTTTTAAGGCAAAAATCACCGGAACACAAAGCTATTAATAACCACTAAACATCACACAATGGCATCTTTTTGGACCTGCCTATAAATGAAAGAATAATGTAAATATCCTCAGTCGTGTTTGCTTTCTTTAGACATTTAAACATGATCTGTCTGTGTGCGTCTATGTGTGTGTGTGTTTCTAAAATTAAAAACATCCTGTTCTGAGCAGCTTCCAGAAACCAGTGATCTTTCATTGAAGAGGACGAGTCTACCCGTCCTTCCTTAATTGACTGATGTGTGAATCTTACACAAACATTCACTGTCACTTGAAAATGCTTGACTATGCAGAGTGTAAAGGGGACTGGAGGAATTTTAGACTACTACAAATGTATCTGTCATAATTTGCCATAAGTAAGAAGAGCCCCAATAAAATGTTACCCAACTCAAATGAGCACAAATTAAAGTAATAATATAATTACTTTAGTACTTTTTATTAATATTACAATAAGAGTTTTAACTTTATATTGTTTGAGTTGGGAAAATTAATTGAAAACAACTAGTTTTACATTTGGCCACCATTTTGCAACCTAGATTCATGTATGTTAACTACCAGTGACAGTGTAAATATTTGTCAATCATGTCAACTTTTAAATCAACAACCTAGAGATAAAAAAAAGGGCTCTAGACTTTAGCAGAAGGACCTATAGTTCATAATGTGAAGTGAACACACAATGTTCTGTGTCATCATCACTATAGCTTGGATGGTGATACAGTAGCCCCTATTCCAAAGAAGCAAGTCTCCCCTGCACACACACACACACACACACAAGCACAAAAAAGTGGCCAAACAGATCTGTGTACTAACGTTAGCCAAGTCGAGCGGCTCCTGGTACTGAGACAGCCGACCAATGGAGGGAAGCCCAAATGATTTGTATGGATCCTGAAAAAGAGAAAGATAGAGAGAAGAAATATAAGCTCTCAAATAAAACACAGGAAACAAAAGGTCAAGTGCCTGTCCTCAAAGCTTATGTCTTAACTCAGGTCAAACTGTGGCTCAGTTAAGTTGGGTTAACAAGGTCTGCTCGTTTTCTCTCATCTTTGGCAGGCACAAACACTTCTGCCATCCACAATGGGTTGAGTTGGGCCAGCATATTTCAGCATGATGAGATGAGACAGAAGACCCACACTGGGCTGGGGTGAGTTTACTGAATATTGATGATTTCAACATCTGAATAGGTGTTATTCTGGCTTATAAAAATGTCTGGCTATAATAAATCCTAAACACACAAAAGCCAGTTTGTCAGACACGGATTAAGGAGAGTCCAGGATTAAGCAGCTCTGCTGAAGGAGTGAAAATGCTCTGTATCACACTTAATCGTTTTTTTTTATAAACAAAAATGGGGGAAATCATGTTAAAGCTGAACGTTGCCAAATACATCCTGAAGACAGATCCTTTAATAGGGCAGGACCTACTCAAAATATCCGTGAAAGATAACCAACACTTATGTGGGTAAATCTGGCAATAGCGTATAAATCACATTTGAAAATAATGTCACATCAAAGTCAATGAATTCTATGTTCAGTACCATTGATGTAAAACAGTTTTCCCCCCTTATTTATTTTGGGCTGAAAGTTCTCATGGGTATGTTCCTCACAGGTTCTGTGAGATTAACCCATGTCCTAACAAGCACATGCACTGAAATCCCAGATATGAGCTGATAGCTAGAGAACAGGATGGGCGATGCAGTTATATACATTTAATACAGTTATAAATATTACACAAAGATAAATAAGCAATCTTTTTCCAAAGTACATTTGCACAGTAATACATTTTTTAAGGTTGTTCCGACAGTTCTATGGATTTAGGCTGTCTCAACTGCTTCAAAACAAATGTTTTTATGAACCATGTGGCTTTTTTTAACAGGACTGTTTATACTCTACCAGTTGATTTTCAGTTACCCAGCCACGAGGGCACCATTATCTGTAGATTTTTGAGATTAAAACCAACTGAAACATCAGTCCATGACTAATATCATAAATACTAAGAACACCCTGTATTAAGCATTTCATTGCTTGTTGGTTTACCTCGGCATAGACTCTGCTCTCGATGGCCCAGCCATTTATGGGTATGTCGGGCTGTTTGTACTGGAGTTTGTAACCCTTTGCGATGCGGATCATCTGCTGCACCAGATCCAGTCCTGTGATGCACTCAGTGATGGGGTGCTCCACCTGAGAGAGAAGGACACACTCACAAACATCGTAAAATAATACATGGACTGCTGTGTACAAAAATTAAACCGTACATACTGCATCGATTTAATTTTACTGGAGAAAAAAAGGGAATCTGTCACCAGCGTTAAAACGCTACAAACCCGTCTCCCACCAAACGCACTCAAACACTAACATAGGTGTTTAAAAGACTCTTGTTAACCAGACAGCGCCACTAACAACTACTCATTAACCCTGAGCGGAAATATTAAAACTTGTTCCTGCCCAGAGCAGTGCAGCCCCTCTCCATAATTCTGCCTGTTTCCCTTTGGGAGGTCCACACTAATGAGCTTTATAGACACTTTGATGTCCTCTGTGGCTCTGGGTTCTAGAGAGGTGACATGATCAAGATTGTGTACTAGACTTGTTAAATAGAAATTACATATAAGAGGACTTGTTGGACTTACCATTAAAACATCCTGAAAGTTCATAGCTTAAACAAAGCATTTATTTAAAAGGAGCCGCCCCCTAAAAACGGATCATTACAGACAGAGGGTCAGAAAGAGGGTTGAAAATATTTGTTCTGGATATATGCTTTTTGTGCAAAAAAACTTGATTCAAATTATATGTGAACCTAAAGGAACATGTTAAAGTAATTTTTTTTTTAAATCCATGCCATGAACACTTTAAATACAGGTCACACGGTCATCCAACTTGAAAACTTCCAAGAAGGCCACACAATGAATTTAAATTAATATATTATTATTATTATTATTATTATATCAAAGATCTAACTTTAATATAAATTAAAATTTAAACTAAAATCATATTCCTTTCCTTTTTTCTTTTTTAAAGAAAATGCAGTTCTTAAATTCTAGAATCACAAAATGAATTGTGGTTCATTTTAATATACATGTACTCCCAGTTTCTGTAAAAAAAGAAGAAGAAGCTGGAAATCAAGCAGCTTTGGCATAGTTACATCAGAAATATCTATGGAGGGGATCTTTGAATATTGTGTTGGACAATCGGGGGCCTGGATATTTAGTGAGAGCAATCAAAAGCATAATCACAAGAAATGTTAACAGAAATGTAAATTACAATATTCCCAATTCCATTAAATGTAATCTTTTAAAAGGTGTGTGTGTGTGTTTGATGTCAAAGTTGTTAATGTAATTGAACTTCACATATAATTGAACTTCATATTTATTTGAATTTCTACATGCAATGCAGTTGTTTCATGGCATAAAGCTCTTTTTAAAAGTCTACATATTGTTAAGTGTCGGGTATATTTTTTTTCTAATGGCAAGGACAGACAGAACTCTTTACATAGTTCTCATGCAGACAGTCTGCCTTGTCGTTAATGGGTGCTCAGACAAATTGCAAAGCTATTGTAAGGCTCCAAAAAAAAAAAAATACTACCAAAATCCCTTTCAAGGAAATTCTGCTCACTGGCAGCCATATTTGCAGCAATTTTGGCATCCAAGACCAAAGTCCTATCTACATTAGAGGAATCCTGAAATCTAAAAAACTGCTTGCTGAACTCGCATTTAAATAACAGATTTCAAATCAGCAACAAAATCTGACATGAACTGTCCCATAAATGTTGTTTCTTATGCTCTTGTGTGAGGGAGTTAACTTAAGAGACACCCACAACTTTAGTATAAAAAAGTACTAAGACATGTTTATCAGTAATAACTTCTGAGGAAAAATAGCGCAGACACTGGACAAAGATGAAACGTTCTAGTGCACGTGTCGACAGCATACGTTCACACACGCCATCAAATGGAGTATACTGAAAGGCTAAGCATTCGACTGTACGCAAACGCTACTGTATGTGTTTGTCAGTTCATAAAGTGATCAGCTGTTTCCTTACAAAAGTCAGAATACTGAAATAAACTTTATTCACATACTCAAGTTGAATCTAAACAGTGAATCTGATCACTAGTATTCTGGCAAAACTTCATTTATCTTCAGCCTTGGGTGACTGTCAGTATCAAATTGTTTAAATGTAATTTAATGGAAAACTATGTGAATGGCGCAGCAAAATGAATCAGTCGTTACCCACCATGGTTGATTATCACCTGCATTTGGTGGGGTGGCGGGTGTAATGTAATGATATTTCAAGGAAGCAAAAAGGATGTGCTTCAAACATACTCATGCACATACAAACCTGTAGACGTGTGTTCATCTCCAAGAAGAAGAAGTTCTTCTTGGAGTCGACAAGAAACTCCACAGTGCCAGCTGAGGAGTATTTCACTGCTTTAGCCAGAGACACGGCCTGCTCTCCCATCGCTCTCCGAGTGTCAGGGTCCAGAAAGGTGCTAAACAGACACATAAACTTATAGCAATGTAAATAGTCGCATAAGGTGGAGTGCTTGCTGTCCACTCATTTAATTCAAGATTTTATTTAATATTTGTAATCTAATTTTAATTTTTTTATTTATTTTTTCCCCTTCTTCAGGGGTGAGAGCCTCACACTTCGCATCAAGACTTTGGTGCCATATATTAACAACTCTCAGGTCGACTTTAGATTTATAAAATATATAAATACAAAAAAAATTAAACAAACCTGGGTGCCTCCTCCACCACTTTCTGGTTTCTTCTCTGGATGGAGCACTCTCTCTCATTCAGCCACAGTGCATTGCCATGTTTGTCCGCCAACACCTGCAGAAAACAGAATGGAAGCCATTAGCACAAATATCCACACTGTGGCCACTCAAAATAAATCCTATGACAGTGAGGAGAACATAGTCTCTGCTGTAGAGAAAGATGGTGTAAAAGAGTCTCGTTGGACAGTTAGTCACTGGGAACTTGAATACAAAACAACTAAAATATTAAATAGCACAACTGCTTTTAACATTGATCCCATGATTAACAAATGTTACTTAAGCACAAAATCAGTATATTAGAGAGATTTCTGAAGGATCATGTGACACTGAAGGATGGAGTAATGATGCTGAAAATTTAGCTTTGATCACAGGAATAAATAACATTTTAAAATGCATAAAAAAAACTTTTTTTAAATTATAATAATATTTCACAAGGTTACTGTTGTAACTATATGTTTTATCAATCTATCAGTCTTACCAGCCCCAGACTTTTTAAGAGCACTATATAGGAACTCATTGAAGACTATTGTAAAACTCATTAAACTGGCTGAAAGAATACCCAGATTGTTATCTAGCTGGAATCTAGGCAAAAGTTGGTTATTTAATAAAGGAACTAAAGCAAATTTTGCTTTATTTAACATTTTTAGCTCACTACATACATGTTGATACTATACTATTATTCTTACTTTATAAAAGAATGGCTAATTGTTCGCATTCACAAGCAAGGTGGTCTTATCCAGTAAATACCTGAATCTCAATATGTCTGGGGTTATCTATGAACTTCTCAATCAACAGACGATCATCTCCAAAACTAGATGCTGCCTCCTGAGAGGAGAAACGAAAGCCTTCCCTGAAACAAAACACAAAACTTCATAAGACTTCATTGCAAAAAGGTTAACATACTTTGATCCACGTTCTTATTTTCACATTTCACAGCATATCAACTACTTGTTTGGCTAATAACTTGTTAAGAGTTAGAAATGCTATTTTCTATTAAAAGTCTCTCTCTCCACTGAATTGCTATAGAGACCGTTTGCCGCTCAAGATAAATCCAAGCCCGGCTTCAGCCTACGGCAACAAAAGGCACAATTAACAGCAACATGTCCCCCTGAAGTTTATTAATATTCACAAGAACAAAAAAAAAGATGAGGAAGGGAAGGAGGCAGAGAGAGAGAATCTAAGGCGTTGATTTGTAAATGGTAATATGTAAATGTGGATTACAAAATGAAAAATGATAATATAAGAGCCTTGTCATTTAAGCTGTAAAACTGTACAATTCCCTATAGAGCTGACCGAAAACCAAATTCATTTAATTAACTAATTAGCTTCATAAAGCTTATTACTGCTTGAAAAGAATCTTTGGCCGACTCTCTCCAAAGAAAACTTACACATGATGGGTCTCTTGTTCTGTCTAGTGATCAGATGTCTGATCCTTTAGTATTAAAAATGTCCCTGAATCATCTTCCCTCACGTCTCACCTGGTTTCCTCATCATTCCAGGAGATCCTCATCCCTTTCCCACCTCCGCCAGCAGACGCTTTGATCATAACAGGGTAGCCTGCAAGAGATGGACACAAATTATGACTTGGCTTTATTTACTACATGACCTTATTCTTAATAGATGCAAACTATGACAACATGTCTACATTATAACCACGCTTACCAATTTCTCCTGCAATTCTCACAGCCTCTTCTGCATCCTTGAATAAAAAAATAAACATAACTTTAGTTCATGTGTATCTGTTTGTGTGATGTGGCCTGCAGCAGGTAAGATAATTCAGTTCCCTCTTCTAGTCCAGCAGAGGGAGCTACAAAGCATAATAGTTTGTACTACCACAGTTATTGTAATTTAAGGGTAAATGATCAGATTTGACCAAAAATCACCTGATTAAGAAGTCATATTTACAATAATTATGTTAAATTTGGACTCATCTTTTGCAGTGAAAGCCACTAATCAGTGGAATGCCCTACCAGAGGACATAAAAGGGTGTAAAGCTCATGGTCTTTTTAAATTGAAGTTAAAATCTTTTTTTAAATTGAACCAATTATGTAACCATTGAGATTGTTGTAGTTAAATTGATTGACTGATTTATTTATTTATGTTTTTTTATGGCCTTGACAGTGTGTATGTATGTATTTATTGTATGTGAACATAGGTATTGTCTGTGTAATGTTTTGTTAGCTTTGTCCTGTCTGGGGGACTACGGATGAAAAATAGCCTTTGGCTAAATCCGGTACAATACATGAAATGGAAATTTTATGTTAAAAATTGTGCATGGTCCCTTCATAAAAAAAAAAAAAGAAAAATAAAAAAAATGGTTTTAACCATATGAAACCAAAGGTGTGATTCATGTTTCAGCTATAGGAACTTTTGGACCCGAGTTTATTTTCTAAAGCCACTATTATATGTTTCACAGTCTGTCTAGTTTAATTGTATACCAACAATGAGGAAACATATGTCAAAGGTCAAGAAGATTTCTATAAAATGTCAATTTATTAATTGAGTAATGTATTGTGGTATATATTAAAGTGGCGTAAATGAGGGTGTTTGAATTTTTTTTAAGGATAACTTCATAGCATCTGAATTACAATAAACTATTATCGTACTTATTGCATAATGACAAAAAAAACAGCTTTATTTGAATTGCAATCAAAAATATGCTATTCACAAGTGAAATTTACCCTCACATCTTTGCTGAAACTTACCGAGTACACTAACCTTTGAAACTATTTTAAGGGCAGAATTGTTGGTAGTGGTGGAAATTATTCCACAACTGAAGGGCAGTAATAGTTTGTGTAAAATAAAGTTATAATATTTGGGGGAAAAATTCATCATTTTATGATGGATTTTAAGTTTCAAGATTGGATGCTTGAGTCTGGCTCTGGGACAAGGGTTTGACAAAATCTGTAAATAAAGGCATTTGATAAGAAGGGAAATGGTTTTAAAAGGCAAAAGAAAAAAAAAATCTACAAGTGTTTTAAATTCGCTTTAAATGTGATCTTAAATGTTTAATCATGTGACAAAAATAAAATAGCAGAAATCAGTTTGTTTTAATAACAAATAATTATAAATAATTGCCTGAGACATCAGTGACTGAAGTGACTTGAAGAAACCCTTAAGGCCCGATATGCTCACACCAAGTTCTTTTTTGTTCTTCAATTTGGTGTAAAAAGAAGTTTGAAATACACGAGTAGCGATAAACCGTCTACGCTGTTGAGAGTGACGTTTAGATGAATATGTTAATAAGTGCTTAGCGCTTTTCTTCTAGTAACAAAATAAACAAACAAAAAAAATGACACCGATGAGAAAACAATAGATAAGAAAGCATCTGATCATAGCAATGTGGATGTTTGCACGAGCTCTGTAATTCGCCGCTCCGGTAAAGTCGTCACATTTATTTAAATACCACTTCATAAAATAGATTGTTTAAAAGCATGCAGTATTAAACATGAAAAACAGTGCCAGTATCTCTTTCAATTAGAATTTCAACAACATTTTCCACAATAAAGCGGCTCTCCAGTAGGACCTCGAGGGACTGAACAGAAGAAAATGTCCATGTCAAAGAAGGCAGAGCTTCAGAGCACATCCACCTATTACATAAACGCGAAACACCAATGGTAGTTCACCAGCCAGAGGAAACTTTTCTGGAAAGTTTGCTTTGGCAAAGGCGGTGTCCGAAATCACCATTCAATCGCCATTGCACTAATTCAATCCCACAATGCACAGCAATAACGATACGCTCAATGGCTAAACAATACCCATAATGCACTGTGCGCCGTGTGAATTCCCGCGTCTGACCAGAAGATGGCGCCCGAGGCAGAATCATCCATCCATTTTCCAAACCGCTAATCCAATATGGTTACAGCGTAATATCATTCAGGTATGCATTCCTTTTTAATTGATTATTAAATGATTTAATTAAGGTTTATACATGCTAGTTTCCATGACAGAGTTCAAGATAAATGTTTTCATTACTACTGGACCTGCCAGTTTGCTGAGTTTCAAATAATAATTAAACAGCAAAAGCACAAACTATGCAAAAGCGGCAGCCCATCGGGAACGCTCAGAAAAGGCAATTCACTCACTCGTTTACATTCCCTCAAGTGAACTAGTGGACTAATCTAGGGAATAGTGAATGAGGGTATAGGGGCGATTTCAGACACAGCCAAGCCGTTTCGAACTCCCGAAACGAACAAAACAAACTTCATTTTGGCCTGATTTTGTTCGAAATGACGTCACGCCAGTTCACTCTTCGATTTCGCTTGAACTATTTCAGGGCCTTTATGGAGAAAATGTTTCACTAGGTTTTAAGGCAATTCATTTAGAAAAATGTATCTCTGATTTGCCTAATTTGTTTTGTTGTATAAATAACACAAAAAAAAAGACAATTAAGGCCCACTATTACATTTCTGAAACAAATTTTTATATGTATAATATGTTCCCATTCAAAAAAAATACAAATATCGGTCAAATACTTGGAAGACTGCCAAATTGATCTGAAAAAGTCAACAACTGTGTCAGTGGGCAATGGCCATGTTGTGCTGAGAGAATCAAACTGCAAATATTTTCCTGCCAAAAATGCTAGCTACTGTGATTCCTTTCAGACTGCAAGCTGCTGTGTTTAGTGACAAATAGGTCATATTTAATTGCTTTAAACAACTGTTGCAATTATGCAACTGCAAATCTCTGAGGGCTGAAAATGGCGACAAAATAATTGTTTACAAACGATTATTGAAATAGTGAAACAACTATTGAAATGTATTTCTTACCAGACATCAAAATACATTAGCAGCTGAGTTCTACACTAGCATTAAATGAAGTTAAGCTAAGGTGAGAAATCCAGCAGAAGGGACTAAAGGGGAGATTTTTGCGTGTGTGTGAGAGTCAGACTGTGATCAGTGTGCTGATGTTATCAGGGTCGTTGAGGAGGTGTTCACAGATGGTAATGCCCATACAATCAGAGTGTCATGCGGCACATCTTTGCTTTATAGAGCCCTATCAGCTCAGGAAGTGTCAAAACGGCCACCACACGGCCATTAAAGGCCATTTAAACAGCATGCAGGAGGAGGGGATGAGTGGGGGAGGGGACATTGGAATAGAGGCAGGAGAAAGAGTTTAAAGACATTTTGGAGGACTGATGAGTAGTTTTATTGTGGTTAAGAGCTTTGTTGTATGCTTTGCAAAAGAACAAGTGGCATATACAAACATATTATATACAAGCATGTTCAAAAAACATATTTTTTGAACATGCTGTTCAAAAGTTTGAAATCAGTTTTACTGATTTTGAAATAAGTCTTTTATGTTCACCATGGGTGCATTTAATGAATCAAAAACGCAGTAAAACAGAAATATTGTGAAATATCATTACAACTTAAAATTTAATACATTTTAAAACAATGTAATGTACTGTGATGGCTGGATGATTTTTCAGCACCATTACTCCAGGCTTCAGTGTCACATGACCCTCAGGAAACAATTAATATGCTGATTTTGTGCTGAAGTAACATTTCTTATTTACCCCTGTTGACAACAGTTTTTGTGGAAACCGTGAAACATTCTTTTCAGGATTATTTGATGAACAGCCAAACAAAATTTACAATAATTTTTGATCAATTGAATGCATCCTTACTGAATAAAAGTATTAATTTCTTTTTAAAAATCATGCTGATCTCAAACTTATTATTTAAACTTAAATTATAGTGTATATATGACAACTTAACGGAACAAAACGAGGTCTATAGGACAATTTGTTACGTGATGAATATCACAGTGTGTTCTTTCAACAACAATCGTCTCTGCTTTACAAAGTTTTTCCGTTAGACTTTAATTCCTGTGCAGCGTGAAAATGATCAAAAGATGCGGTTCATAACAGAAACTACAATAAATGACAGGAGTTGCACTGACTATTAGATTATTTCTGCCACTAGTCGACGCTTTGGGTCTGTTCTGACTAGTTGCGGCTCACATGACTGCAGTTGCGCTTGTTCAATACATGGCGACAGGAGGAGGAAAGCTCCTCTGTCCACAAAATGCATCCCACTGTGATGTGCCAATGGACTTGGGCAGCACAAACTGTCATTTTACATATGTTAAACACCAACCCGCCGACGAGTCAACTACTTTTTTGGATGAATGAGCAATTGTGAAAAATCCAAGTAAAATGTGTATGAACAATAATCAGCTTTCTTAAGTCCTACCTAAAATCACTGCATAATATCATAAAAAACAAACATACTACCAAAATAGTGGGCTTTTTGTACAAGAACATGTCAGTACATAGATGACATAATTAAATGAAAAATTTATTAAAATTTACATTTTAAAATCATAATAAAAAAACATTTTAAATTTTGATAATATTTCAAGTTAAGTATTTTTGATCAAATAAAGGCAGAGTTTGAATGTATATTATAAACTCTATAACATATGTATATTGTTATCTGCAACACATAGTATACTCTATTTCAGCAAGATTCTTTGTTTAGCTGTAACTTCGATATACCACCCATCTGTGCTGGGCTGAACATTTCTTTACACATTTATTTGCAAGACGTTTTTATCAGATAAATAGCACATGCATGTGTGATGTGAGGAATTCTTGGGAAAAGACTGAGGACAAACATAAAAACAAATAAATAATATCTGACCTTGACTACTCCATCAAAGCCTGGGATGGTGTTGACTTTGGCAGCTTTGGCGATGAGTTTGCTCTCTATCTTATCCCCCATGGCCTGGATGGCATGCGTGTCAGGACCAATGAAGGTCACCCCCTCGGCTGCCTGTACAGAAAGAATTTATAATAAGGCACATTTTATGTCATCTAAGTTAGGAGATCTTACTTACAAATCAAGACCATAGGCATCAAATGTATTGAGGCAACAATCAGAAAATGTCACGTCTCACTGCACGACTCCGAGATAATCAGATTCTCCCTGAATCACCCTGTTTTTACTCCTACATCAAACCTCAACACACCTGCACATTATGTGATCCAGATGTACTTTTCTGGTTATAATACACCACTGTGCATCGGGTGACACCGGATTCCACTTTTTCACCTTTCACAGTATCAGTCAAAAGTTTGGACACACATGACTGATGTATATCTCTCATGATCTTGAAGAACTTACACTAGAGTTCAAAAGTTTGGGGTCGTAAGATTTATTCATTTTTTTTCAGCCAGGATGCATTAAACTGATCAACGTGACACCAAAGACATTTAAAATGTTACAAATGATTTCTATTTTAAATAAATGCTGTTCTTTTGAACATTCTGTTCATCTAAGAATCCTAAAAAAATTTTATTATTACCGTTTCAATAAAAATATTAAGCTGTACAACTGTTTTAACATAATAATAAGAAAAGAGAGGCATTAGAGACTTCTTTCAAAAACGTATAATACCCCAAACTTTTGCACCGCAGCGTATATAGAAAGATTTGATTATATACTTGAAATTAATTTTGTAAACAAATAGATACTGTGACATTTCTTTATAAAAGTATAATTGTTATTGACAGATAGGCCTACATGTAAACTCAATAAACATAGTAGTAATAGTAAACTATATAACACAGTTACTACGAGCACTGGTCACGCACGGCATAGTGACATCTTGAATATCTAAATCTCTCGACCTCAAAAGAGGTACGCTACCATACTTTTGTTGCCAGGGGAACCAAATCCCTTCACAAAAACAGGCCCCAGGGCATCAACTCTGGTGAAGTAAAGAAAGGTAGCTTCAGGTAATGCCCGCAGAAACATACATCTAAATAACGAAGACAGAAAAAAGAACGGGAAAAAGGAGATCTGTTCTTTCCTTTGTTAGTCTCGAGAATCGGGAGGCTATTGCTTCCTGGCTAATATACTACAGATAGTATGCCTGAGGCGCGCAGAACCCACGGAGCTCTGTAATTAAAAGGGATTTGACCCCATGACTCTTTCAGCTCCAACTGGACCCATGGTGTCATGAGATAAAGGATAAATCTAAATTAGGCAAAAAAAAGTGATCTGTTTGTTCTTGACAAGTGCTTGGGAAAAAAACAAACTAAGGTGTCAACAAATTTAACTTCTGTAATCAACTGAAGTCCATTACAAATCACTAAAACTATAAAGTAGAGAAAACCCATTCGGAAGTTTATTTTTCACTGAATCAGTTCAAGTGCACAAACAACTTGATTGCAACCTTGAAGTAACTACCAACAGTTTGCTATTTTAAACAAACTAACTAAAAACTATAAAGCAACAAAAAAAACCTACAAAAAAAATAGAAAACAAAACAGGTTTTGAAATGAAAAAATACATAAATTATACACAACATCACTGTAAAAAAATAGATAATAAAATAGGAAATGAAATGAAAAAAACTAGAAAGCAAGAAAACAAAACAAGTAAAAACAGGGGACATGAATAAACCAAAATAAAATAACAAAAAATCCTAGAAAACAAAACACAACAGGGGACATGAAATTAAAGAAAAAAGAAAAGACAAAAAAACTACAAAGCAAAAAAAAAAAAAAAATATATATAAAAAAAACTAGAAAACAAAACACACAAACAGGGGACATGACATTAAAGAAAATAAAATACATACATGGGAGACAATATCACTGTTTATTTTTTATATGCACTGGCAAATTCCAGCACCCCCGTCATGCTAGAGACCTTTCACTCAAACCCTTGTCTGTGTCTCTGTCAGGCTCTGGAAAATGAAATCCAATAAAACAGTTGTGCCCAGTCCTCCTTCTGTTCATTTTTACACTTCCCTCATGTGTATTTGTGCATGTGGTACATTTAATGGGCTAAACAACCAGCAAGCCACTACAACAACAATAAAAAGAGTGTGAGGCACTAGAAGTGTCGAGAACTTGTGTACAGCTGCGCACGTGAGGAAGAGAACACCAGGATAATGAAAACATCTTGTCCAGGACAACATCCAAAGAGTGGAAAGGCATGAAAACACACACACACACACACACACACACACACACACACACACACACACACACACACACACACACACACACTCCACTCAAACTCTGCCATTGAAAAGCGCTTCTCTTTAAACATGCTAAAGAGGCTGTAGAGGTAATCCTAACAGAGCTCTCTAGGCTGAAGCTGCGCATGCCCAGGGGCTCTGGCCAATCGTTTGCCCTGCGTAAAACTGTACTAACAGTCGGGCAGAGGGGGCAGCTATTCAGGATGGGGGGCTCATTCACCTCTTATTCATGTGGGGGGTATCTCTATTCAACTGCTAATGTAATGACATCTTCATTTCCACACACACACACAGAAGGCAGTGGATGGCCCACTCATCTGTGTGTGCGCATGCGTATAGGGAAATGTAAAAGAGTGACTGGGGGATGGAAAGGTAGAGAGAATTGAAGTACAGGTACAGATGTGGTTGAGGGATTGCTTATGAAACAAATTATTTGCATTAATTCATATATCAAAACTCTTTTATCCAAAGCAATTAAGTTTATAGGGCAAGCCCGAAGAAAATATCGGGAAAATACAAGATTAAAACAAAAACTTCTAATAGCTTAATATATTGCATGAGGCAAACATACGGTTTAAATGAAAGTGCTTATGCTTTTACCACTTGCTGTAAGTCTGTGAATCATTGCATTTACTATTTTCTGTAAGTGATGCATTACTATGACACTCCTGTCTCATTGGTAAGCTCACACACAATCAGACTGCTTTCTGCACAGATTTTCTTGGGGAAAATTGAATTAGTCATGGTAAAACAGGTTAAACAGAGATTAAAGTACTACTATATTAGCTGAAAGAAATGAATTCAATAAAAAAAAAAACTATTTCACGATTAAGTGTCTAATTTCTGCATCACCAACAGCACAAAACAGGACCACAACAGTTTCAAGCGGTTCTACTTTTCAGACTGAAGTTGCACACCTTGCTGCCGCCTGCCATTATTCAAGTCTCACAACATTGGTTGAGACAATGCTGTTACAGACAGTCAAGTTGAGCTGCTTAAATAAAAAAAATGGTTGCAATTGATTCTGAAGCTTTTTGCTCTTTTTATGTAATTCTATGAAAGTCTTGTGTGTTTGAATAGTTTTAAACTGAATTTTGCAGAAATTATTGTTGGCAAGGAAAGGAGAGTGACCAGGGCCAGGGGTATTCCTTTTCCAAATGTCCATGCATTTACATCTTGTTTCAAGTCACAACAGACCATCACAAGCTGCACCTGGAATCTCAGAGTAGACCTCATGACGTTCTATATATGAATGCGTGTAGTATGAATGTAATCTGGACATTCGCCATGTTGTCACTGTCATATGACCCACAGTGTCAGTTGCCATTCCCAAATCCTCTCCCGTGGCCTCACTGGACAGTAAAGTGACCACTGGATTCACACTTTAGAACCTTGCCAGAAGTAGCAGGTCATCCAAGTACTTTTTGCCTACTGATTTACAAATACTGTGAATTTGGACATAAAACTCTTTTTCACCAAATAAAAACGAGATAAGTACGAAAAATCGGATGCAGCCTTTTCTCTTTGGTTGACTGTACAAAGTATTTCCCTCAAATCTGGATATTTAACAAGTTCTTTAAAGAAAAATAGCAGATAAAAATGTTTTTCAATGTCACAATTCATTCAAGCCCATGGGTCAGTTCCACTATAGTGACGCAGAAATGACACATTTCAACTTTTTGAATTAATATCACACAATGAATGGATACGGGCTGGGAAATTTAGATTTGTAGAGTATATGCATTCAGATTATTATGATTTCTGCTTGCCTACTAATGACTGAGATACAACCCAAAACAGAGAAATTCCCCAAAGAAAACTGCTTCTATTCATTCTGTGTTGCTAGGCAGATTTCCCCCATTGTAGATTTAAAAACCAGTGGTTTGTGATTTATTCACTGCTGGATAACAGTCAAATTGAAAGGTGTCCTCTTCACCAATGCTGTCTACAACCTCGAAGAGACATGAAACAAATCTGGGTCTAGCTGAGCTGATTTGGGTCCCTGACTGCTTAATATTTAACACTTATTTTGACATGCTGATGAATTTTTAACAGGCTCTGTTGATTAACAGTAGGATGTTCGGCCGAAAGCCTTTAAAACTGCACAGAGAAAAGCTCATTTATTTAAGATTTTTAGCTAAAATTTTTATCTACAACTACTTCTAGGCAACCTATCAACGTGAGCCCGCCGTTGCTGTGACGACGCCCGGTGTGTGTTTCCCTCCTGCCTGAATGTGATTTATATCAAAGGAGATCTTGCAAGCACGTCAACGCAGCTGCCGGAAACTCTGCCAGGAGAGTCTCGCGTTTTAAACTACACTGCAGCAGAGAGTAAGAGACACAGAACACAGATGATACACACACCAGATACAATAAATAACCAGGACTGACTATTATGGACAAAAATAAGAATCAGAAGGCAAGTAGAGAAACAGAGAGGCGTGTCATCTTCCCTCATCTCTATTCTCAAATTCTGTCTGTTCCGCTTTTCACTCTTCTACAACGCAGCAAACTAGGCAAAAAGAAGAAATCTGGAATCCTAAAAAAAAGCGAAAATATCTAGATGAAAAAAAGAGAGTGACGGCCCCATGCGAACTCTCTGAGTGTGTTTGAGGCCTGCCATGACACGAAGCATGTCCTTATTTAGTCGTAATCAATTGAAGGGTTAAGAAAAAGATGGTAGCTTCTGAGTTTAGTTGCCATGGCAACACTGAGGCACAGTTGGAGGTTGGCACATGCACTTGTCGGCGCAGAGGCGCTTGGCTCAATTATTTTGGGACACGGGTTAAAGGGATAGTTCACCCAAAAATGCTATTCTATTCAACCTTTACTTATCGCAATGTTGTTTCAAATTGTATTTTTCTTTGAATATACTTTCGTTGAATGCAAAAGGAATCTTTCTTGAATAACATACTCGTTCTTTTTCATGCTATTGAAAAAAAGGAGGCTGGAACTTTCAAACTTAAAAAAACAATGCAAAAAAATTACCATAAAATTAGCCCATTTGGCTTGTATGTTATATATAAAAGTCTTGTACTGTATTTAAAAAGGCTTTGCATAAAGTCTAACAGTCTAAAATGTATTATTCACAAAAAATCTCATCATCCATCTAAGTTAAGAGTTGTGGAAAAGTTGGATGGTTGTGGAAATGTGGACTATGAGGAAAGTTGTGATTTGGTTCACAAAACCCAATCTGAATGATTTAATCTTGAATATGAAACATTCACATTGTTCCTTTACATATATTACTGACATGGTAACAATACAAATCTGGTTGAAAATCAGAGAATTTATCCTTTAACAGCTCTCTGGAGGGGAAGAATATCGCAAAACTAAGATGAATTCAACACGTTGTTAAAAAGCTCACAAGTCATGTGGACCAATTTTATGGTGCTTTTTGTGTCCTTTTTTGAAGCTCCAGTCTCCATTAAATGTTTTTGCATGGGAAAAATTAGCAGGATATCCATAAACATTTTGTAAGTCACGTGGCTTAATAATTCCTTTAGGATTTTGAATATCAACCAGCTCCACTACCATTCAAAAGTTTGTGGTCGGTAATATTTAAAAAAAAAAAAAAAATACTTTTATTCAGAAAGGATGTGTTAAATAAATTAAAACTGACAGTAAAGACTTTCACATTGTTAAAATGTTCATTTTCAAATATGCCACTGTTTACACAAAAAATATTAACGTTTTCAGCTTATTTATTATAATAATAAAAAAATGTTACTTGAGCACCAAATCATCATATTAGACTGATTTCTGAAGGATCATGTGACACTGACAATCAGCACTGGCTACATTCTAAGAAACAGAGCACTGTCCTTCAAAAAAAGGGGGTAAGCCAATAATGAAACTGGAACTGAATGTGAATGTGGTACTGAATCTCTTTATCAAATGACCCTTTTGGCCTTTCTGCCCTTATTTGGGTTGCAAATAATCTTCTCACCTCAGAACTCACACCTTTAATTAAATTACTACTGGGGGGTCCGAGCTGTTAATTACAAAAACTGTGTGTGTGTGTGTGTGTGTGTGTGTGTGTGTGTGTGGGAGGGACACTGGGTGACGTAGAACAATAAGTGAGGGGCTTCTCTGCCCCCAACTTCAACACAAAGTCATTTAAATATTCAACTATCCATTTCTTTTCTTTTTTTTTCACTTTACACTTTTTTTTTTTTTTTTTTTTTTTTTTTTTTTTTTTTTTTTAAATGCAGACTCACAAGTCTCCTGGCAAACTCCTTATTTTCAGACAAGAATCCATAGCCAGGGTGAACCTACAAAAGAGAGAGACAAGTTTTAGAAAATGATTTACCTTTACGCATCCAAAGTATGTGTGTTATACAGGTGACATTTCACAGCTCCATCGCATCATTCAGTTATGTTTATAGATAATAGCATTGACCAGTTCACCATGTTAATAATATATGACCTTTTTTATACCAACACGGATTAGGCTCCAACTGTGCTAAAGTCCCCAGTGTTTTACCTCACACACACACACACACACACTCACAGCTTGAGCTCCAGTCTGCTTGACGGCATTCATGATAGAATCCATGTTCAGGTAACTTTTACTGGTAGGGGCAGGACCGACACACACAGCCTCATCAGCCATCTTCACATGAACCTAAAGGAAAGAAAAAACACACAGGAAAATCGGCAAAGTCAAATAATATGAAGTTGGTCAATTTAACCCATTTCAGTTTTTGAGTTGTTGGAAATACTAGTTAACCTATGGTTGCTCTTGAAATTCTCTCACTTTTTCCTCATTAAGGCCCATGAACATGCCTGCAAAGTGTTGACAGTCTCATGTCTCAAACGCCTGTGAAGAGACGACTCGACGCCGGCGATATGTTATGCCCTAAATTAATACATGATTAACTAACTGTATTTTTCCTGTAATGTACATTTCTGAAATGCACTTTCTGTAAAGCTGCTTTGAAACGATATGTATTGTGAAAAAGCGCTTTACAAATAAATTTAAATTGAACTGAATCATGTGTTGTGAAATGTGCATACAAAACTGTGGAATGTTGAAAACGAATCTATGGTCTTGTCGTTGCTAGTGCCTTGCTCTGCTGTATGAGATTCAGGATAGCAAAATAAATAAGTGCTTTTCCAGTAGTGTTAAAATGCTAAATGTAAAATTGCTGAAATGTAAAAACAAAAAATGTTTTATGGACAGTTTTAAAAATCATATGCTCTCATGGGTTTTTTGTAATGTGTGAGAAGTATTATTGCAAAGGTTTGCTGTTTTTACCAGATTTAGCATATTCTGATGTTTGATTAATTGTTTTTGTCATCCCCACATTTTGTAGCAAATACTCAGCATTTTAAACACTCGTTTTCATTGCTGGTAATGCCAGTGAGTTCATCCCACAGAAAGCACAAACAGATTGTCTGTGTGGCCAAGATGTCGTCACACACGGTGTGAAGCAACTGTGACAGTGAGCTGACTGAGTGACAGACCTCACAATGGGGAAGCATTAATATTGACAACTGCATCAACAGGGGAGTTTTGGAAAAGGCATGCTAGCCAACTGCTGCTTCTCTGCTAATGTTCTCCATACATGTGTAAAAAGGGAGACGTAAAGTTGTTTTTACTCACATTTAACGAGGGTGACGCAAACAGAGGTGGATGAGCTCGCTCAAAGATCTAGCAGAGATGCGAGATACTATAATGAGCCCAAAAGACTGAAGCAGCGCATACTAACTGCAAACCCTGACATTCTATATCATCTTATGGCTACCTGAAGAATTGATCATTTCATTGTACGTTATTATTCTTTTTGTTTACTAAATTGATATCTTAAATTCAAATTAAACAAACAGTCTTGGACAGACAAATCTCTAGACATGTTTTCATTGCCAGTGAGTTTAATGAGTATTATGTCTGAGTCTTTTAAAGCAGCGCCAAGCTTGACGGCTTCCGACCATTAGTTTCAGGAGCCCAATAAACGTATTTTTCTGTCAGCACCTACCCTGTTAACCAGAGAGGATGTGAGATAGCCTGTGGGTTCCCTTACTTTTAATGAAACACTTTAATATCAAGACCAAATGATCAATTCAATTCATTTATCTTTCTTGGTGTTATAGAAAATGACATTAGAAAGAATGAAAAGTCTAATAAAGGTTGAAAGAAAGAAATTAGGAACGTGTTTGTAAAATATTTGAACATCAATCCTGGGGTCAGTATATGGACTTCTAATGTCAATTTGTTCCCCCATACAGAGTCCAGATTATCCCCCACTGCTCTGTTTAAACATCTTCATTTAGATGCTCTTTGGAGGCTGCAAATCAAATGCAAAGATCCCCACCTCTAACCCCCCCATCATTCCCCCAATCCAGCACAGAACACAGCAGGGGAACCGAGCAGAGTTTAAAACACTGCCTCTATCAAACTCTCATGCATATGGAATAGGAGGGGGAGAAAACTGACAGCTATCAATCATGGGAACAGAGGATTACACTCCATGAAAAGATAAAGGTGAGACGAGCAAAAGCTTTGGTTTATCTTGCAATGCTTGTAAAAGTCTAGTGGGGTAATTTAGATATTAGTAGCAGACTGCCTCCAGATGACTAACCTGCTTCAGCAAATCTATGTATTCAATTCAAATGCTTCAGTCTTCCTGTACTGTATATATGGGCAGATACATTAGTAATATCTTCTCTAATATGTGAAAGTTATAAAAAATAATAACATAGTAGAGTCCAAAAGAGATCCCAAAAGTGAAAATGAATAATTATTAAAAGAATGTTAATTAAATGATACCATCAGGATAATAATTTGAGCAAGGAATTGAAAAATTAAAGGGATAGTCCACTCAAACATACAAAAATTCTGTCATCATTTCTTTCCAAACCTGTTACTTTCTTCTTTGGAACATAAAAGATATTTTGAGAAATTTCTGTTTTTTATTTTGCCCACACAATAAAACACAATGGTCACCAACTGTAATAAAACACATTAATGACCCTAGAGGTACAACAGAAAGATTTTCAGCTTAAAATTAAATGTGCATCTAAAATTTTAAATGTATTGTCAGACTTTTAAACTTCACTGTATTTAGCCAAGTTTCCACCCAAAGTTGTGAATTTAACTTTTGCACAAAATTGGAATATCGTATAAAACATTTGTGAATAAAGCGCAGATCGCGCAGACGAAACGCAATTAACACTGTCAGGTTACCTTGTGTTCCAACGCCTGGAGTTTGGGAATGCAATCATGCGAGATGCTTCTGGGAGGGAATTAATCCAAATCATTTTAATGACAGGCTTTGACTCAGGCATTCCAGAATGATCAAACCAACATTTGAGATGCTGTGCAATGAAATTAGTCCACTGGTTAGTCCAGTTATCCAATCACATCCTCTATTGAGAAAGTTTTTTGTAGCGCATTGAAGGATTTAATCCGGTAAATGTGTTTCAATCGTAGTTTATGCGCATGTCTTCTCATCGGATAAAAAGTTTATCCGCCTCGATTGAGCGCATGATTTTTGGAATTTATGCGCATCTTGGTGTTTCCATCCAGCGATTTCTTTATGCGATAATCCAAAAGGAACATAAAAATAGGTGGAGGGAAACATAGCTAGTGTCTATATTTAGGGTACTTTTAAATATTACTTTCTCTCACCGCACTAGAGTCAACATCACTGTGAACTGCAACTGTCTTGATGCCCATCTTCTTACAAGTTTTAATCACCTATGAATGGAAAAGAAAATAATTAAGACACTTGACTGGACAAAAATATGAATGTTTATATTTCATAGTAATAAAACTGCACTGGAAGTTCATGTAACTTCATGTAAACAATACATGTAGAACTTCACCCTGATTAAAAATGAAAATGGCCTAAAGACAAATGTAATGTTTTGCCATAAACACACTGAAGAGAATCTTCCTGGTGAAGAACACACACACTCGCTTACCCTGCAGGCGATCTCGCCTCTGTTTGCAATGAGGATTTTATCAAAGGTCTGTGGAAAGGAAAAGGGAACAGGGCGATTAAGACATTTGTTTTGTCAACACTTGATTTGTCCACAGTGTGTGTGTGTGTGTGTGTGCTCTAACGCTGACTAAAGCTCATTTAGCTGTAAGTGAAAGCTGTTCAACACAACACACACAGCTTTTTAGAAAAGAAAGTAAAGAGAAGAGATACAAATCTTTGAGAGCAAGTTCTAAGTGCAGAACTGAAAAAAATTAACATAATTAAACAGGTACAACAGGTCCAAAAACCACTTTAGCCATGTCCAGAACGTAAATATTAAATTACGGTTATCTATTCCATGTAGTGCAATGGACATTCACAAGTTCTAATAGGGAGATCTAGATGAGTGTTAAGGTGGATGTTAGTGGGCCTTAAACATCAAAGCATGAGGCTTCGCTAATGTTGTCTGCCACATGTAAACAATTTATGGAAAAACTGAAGGAAGTGTCTGCCAATAAACCATGTGTCAAGATGAGCCTTGGGCAACGTGTCTCCCAAGAACACATTCCTAAACTCAAAGCATATTTCCCCATTTGCTCATATTGCTACACCCCCAATTCCCCAACACACATAAACAAACAACCTCCAGGCAAAGGTTGATTGTTTGAGAATGGCACATCAAAGCTACATGGATGCAATAGGATTTTGGGAGTGTAAAGGTGATGCAAAGAGAATTTTGACCCTTGCACATGGGGTGTTTCTCAAAATAACTGATACATCTTAGTTTCCTCCATGGATATTTATATGTAGATACTTCATTTGACTGTTCCAAACACGTCTGTCATCTTGGAAAGGTCAACTTTTCAGATGCTACTTATCACTCTCACTAATAAATCAATGAATTTTCATTGAAAATGCCACACATTTTTGATTTTGGATATGATTTTAATGGGAAAAGATGTAAAAATGCTATGGTTCAAACCTGTTAATTGGTTAACGGTAAGTTCCCTTACTCTATGTGGCGAAAAACTTTCTAATAGACCTAATGGGATATTTCATGTAATTGTATAGTAAAATACTGTTATGTACAGTTTTTGGAAGTAAAATCAGTCAAAAATTGTAAATTGACATTCCCAGAATTCTCTTTCTAACATGGTTTTTCATTGAAATAACTATGTTTTATTATCAAATATGTGCATTAGAGTTTTATGTTATCTTATATTGTAAAATTAATGTTTTCTTGCATTATTTTAGTGTCATGCATGTTATCATTATGGTGTTTTTGTATGTGTACGAACCTGTGCATCTTAAAGGGATAGTTCACCCAAAAATGAAAATTCTGTCAGTAATTACTCACCCTCATGTTGTTCCAACCCTGTAAGACTTTCGTTCATCTTCGGAACACAAATTAAGATATTTTTGGATGAAATCTGAGAGCTGTCTCACTCCTTCATAGGCTTCTAGGCAATTTCATTCTGCTGGTCCAGAAAAGTTAGCAAAGACATTGTTAAAATAGTCCAAGTGACTACAGTGGCTCAACCTTAAGTTTATTAAGTGACGAGAATACTTTTTGGGTCTCTGATGTGAGTTCACGAGAGCGCCACGACGCACGCGCTGGAATTGAGAAGATGACGCAGATGGGTCTCAATTTAGTTTTTAAAATGGTTCTAAGGTGTGCATTATCTTCTCAGTTCTAGCGCATGCGTCGTGGCGCTCTCGTGAACTCACTCAAAGGCCCACACAGAAGAAAATTAATAGTTGAATAAAGTCGCTATTTTTGTTTTTTTGCACACAAAAAGTATTCTCGTCGCTTGATAAACTTAAGGTTGAGCCACTTGGACTATTTTAACAATGTCTTTACTAACTTTTCTGGACCGGCAAAATGAAATTGAAATTGCCTTAATTTGTGTTCCGAAGATGAAGGAAAGTCTTACGGGGTAGGAACAACATGAGGGTGAGTAATTACTGACAGAATTTTCATTTTTGAGTGAACTATCCCTTTAAGGTGGTTGTCAGTATGAGTATTATAAAACTGATTTTAGTCATTTTTTTATATGAACATTACTTCAGTTAATGAAATATGTTGTATACTGTAATTTTAAATTAAATCACAATCATGAATAAGGAAAACTAAATCAGTAACTATACCAACCAAAGGAGGACAACATAAAACCATGACAACAAATGAGATGAAAAACCACAAACTCCATGTAACAACCAAATATATCTATAGTAGGCTTCTCTGAAGATGAATAACATTTACTAGAGTTGATAATCAATAATCATTTACAACCAATGATCAATATTCATTTACATATGTATAAATATCTAACATTAATAAATCCTGTGAAAATTAGGGGTTTAAAGTCCCCCTGTGGTAAATATCAAGGTTTTAATGTTGTTTCTATGTCTATGTGGTGCTTTTAATATGCTTTAAGACAAACCATGTGTACATTCATGAACCAACACCATTGAGTTTTTTCTCCTTAAAACTGCAGTGAAGTTTTTCTGTTGACATAAAAAGTCTGGTACTTTTATCAATATAGTCGGTGAATTATGTATATGATTACGTTGTTATGATTAACTATATGTCTTTTTCCACTGACGTTCTGAGTTGTTCAAATCGTTTCTGATGATTGTTAGAAGGCAGACTGAGATGGCGAATGGGAACATAGTTTGTGTAACATTAGCAACACATTATTAGCGGTTTGATAACATAGTCAAGCAAAAGGCTAATCATATTAATTACCGTTATGTGTCTAACATTGTAAAGAGCATTTTACATTGTAAAGAGCGTTTACCTCAGTAAGTTGGCCGAGTGAATCTGTGAGCTGGTGTGAGTGGAGGCGGGGCTAATTAGCATATTCATGGGTGTGCGTAATGTGCGTATACTAAATGAAGCAAGGGTGTGCTAGACAGGATGGAGGAGTGAGGGAATTCAAGCTAATTTAAGGCATGAAAAAAATGCACAAGATTTTTTTTTTCCAATGTGTCATTTTGGTGATCAAAGATAAGTTAAGGGATAAAACTACAGGGGGACATTGATACTTTATTTTACAGTGTCCCTGTTACATGTAGTTACTATTGTAATAACTATAAATTATGCATAATGACATGCAGCTAACCCTAAACCAAATCCTAACCTTCACCCTATAAGTACATGTAGTTTATTTATATTACTCACTACTTAAATGTGTAATTAAACTGTAACATAGGCACCTTCCATTAAAGTCTAACCAAATTATCTTCTAAAGTGTATTACAGATATAAATATTCATACATGTGAATAACTAGGTTGCAGATGCATAGTCAACTTGCTCTCGAGTGTTTCATGGACCAGCTTAGATCGCTGCTACTATATCTACGTATAGTTATGGTTCCCTCACTCCTCCATCCTGTCATCAACAACACATCAATTGACAAAAGACTGACGTGACTCGAAGCACCTTCAGTGTTTGACTGGCAATCTATCGTACAGTCTGACAAGCAACAATTGTATAGGAGAGTGAAAACAGCACAGTGTGCACACGCAAGGACGGAGGAAAGGAAACAAGGATGCACAATTAAAGAAATGAGAGGCATCCATGAATACAAAACACTTATTTTATCTGACTTACCTTCTCATTTGGGTCATTCACCGTAGAGTATCGGCAGATTATAACACCACACCTCTGCTTAAGACAGACATGCTAAAAGACAGAGAGACGGTGCTGTCAGCAATGAATGGAAACATTTATTCTAGAGTTGCCTAAACCCAATGCTCAAACCTTTGATTTGTCATGTCATATTACAAAAAAAACATGCCACTGAATCATATCTTCATTTTTTATTTATAATTTAGCATTTTCTGTTAAAATATAATTCAATATAACTGAATTTGATTTATTTGGATATAATACAGCATACTTTCAGCCCACAAACAGCACTAAGTCATGTTTCATTTTTAGCCATTAATAGCCCTAAATTGTTTAAATATTATTCATAATTCTGAATGAAACTTATAAACTTCCTACAACTAGAAGATGGCTCACAGTGAGAGAAACAAGGTTCACCATTTGAAACAGCCCACAGCAAAGAGATTCATATTCTGCCTTGACTGTCACTGATTAAAGTGGAAATCTATGCAATATAAGCTTCAAAGTAAATGATTAGTTGTGAGCGTCAATCACAAGAAAAAATAATCTTTTAGTAAAATATGCATTACATGTCTGTTGCACAGGCTTGTTTAAATGCCCAGAGTTTCCATATACATTAGGCACAGCTGAATCAGCAAGCGAAAACACTTCATGAAATCATTTTGACATTGACATGAGTTCAGTCATCAGTGATAAAGACATTTGGTTGTTTCTTTCTGCAAAGACAACAATGAAATACACACCATATTATTATAAGGAGATGTGATGTTTCATAAATAAATCTTTTCAGTTTCCAATCAATGAAACTGTCCGTGTGCCGTGACAAGTCAAGTGAACTTTCTTGCTGATCTCTAAGACAAGCATGAGCTCTCATTCAGATAACGTTGCAATGCTTTAAACATAAATCAGACAAATCATCAGATTTGTTATATGAATTGTTTTCCTACACACCGCGATTTTAGATAACAAACGCTCACCTTAACAGCATGCAAAACTCTTTGAAAGCCTGCAGCGCTTCTGTAAGCCGCCATGATAGTCAGAGCTGCTGAGAGCAGAGCGGCGCGCACTTTAGACGTCACAGACAGAATTTGGGGGTGTTTGCCCTCTCGACCAATCAGATGTTCTCGGATGTGTCAGAAAACGCAATGTGTTCCGAGGAGGGGTTGAGACAAGTTGGGCGACAGGTTGCTGATGAAAACCGTGACCTTGGAGGCTAATCTTAATGTATTATATTGTATCAGCACGATTTGCTAATGTATGATGCATTAATAAAGATTGTTAATATTTCATTCAAATATTTGCATGTCAAGTATTAAGGTCTTTTTAGTTTTTTTGCTGTTGGTTGGATTGTTTGTGTCGATTTTTACTCAGCAGATCAAATTATCCAACAGGTTTCTACAATTATCCTTATTAATTATTTCCTTATTTTGTACCCACTATTGCGACATAAATTAGCCTATAGCTACATAGAAAACTTGCAAAGGATTGTGAAAATAACCTTGTAGCCTACCCACAATTTCCACTTCCATTGCCTGCATATGAGTCATTCCTGATTCGGTGCCTTTTGTGTCCCCAGCAAAGATCACGAACTTACTGCCCTACAATGTTGAACAATATCAATTTTACACATATTAGTCATAAATAACACAATTAGAATTTTAAGCACTTTTAAGGAGGTGATTTAAAAAATTATAATTTGAGACATTTTACAGCATTTTGGACCACCATATATCACCATTTTTCATATGATCCCAGTGTATTCCATGTCTTGATAATTGCAACACTTACATTAGGCTAGGTGATTTTTATTTGTAATTATTAAATTTATTTTAGCAATTATAATAAACGTTTTTAGCTTTTCCTGCTATTTATTTTCTACCCTGTTATTTTTGACCCTTTAAATGAAAGTTGGAACAATTAAATGACATCATATACAGCTGTCATCACAGCTTTAGGAACGTGAGTTAGATACTATTTTCTATTTTTACCCAATTATCTTTGGTCAACCTTAGCCTATGTCCACCCTGTTAAGGGAAAAATGAAAAAAGTTAGTAGAAAAATTATAGTTTTAAAATTACAATTTTAAAGACCATAAAATGATGTATTAGATAAACCTTATATAGCTTTTTTTTCTCAGATATGGTGAAGTGGCTGATTTTAGGTCAGAATGTCCACTCTGTTAGTGTCCACCCTGTTAGAAGACCTAACAGAGGGGACACTGTACATAGTGATTGTGAAAGTAATGTTTGTTTAAAGTTGAAGAATTGTATTTTGGTAATGTTTTACATATTGGTCCCATCTAATTTCAGTTCAAACTAATGTAATAATGTAACTGGTTGTATAGAGATAGAAAACCACTTTCATTATGTAATCACTTTGTCCCTATTAAGCTTCAAAAATAAATAAAAAAATCTGCATAAAAAAGAATAATTCAGTGACAATGAAAATTTAGTATCAATAATGCAGTACTTTTAAAAAATAAACAAAATTGCCTTTTAGGCATTTGTATCTGAAAACGAAAAATGTACAATTATACTTTTGTGAGAAAGTAAGTACAATTCATACACAATGTTTAGTATAGTTTTTTGATAATTTATTAACTGATAGGCTTTTAAAGGGACAAAAGTGCATGAGCTGTGTAATGTGCCCATAAATTAGAATCACAAGTATTTGAAACTGTTGTTAATTTGTAGGGTGGACATTTTTGATCTTCCATTTTTTTTTTAAATAAATGGTTAATTTTATTTACCCGAGCTTGACCACAATCTTTTTTCAAATGTTTTACATCACCCTGTCATGACATCACAAAAAAAAAAAAAAAAAAAAAATCATTTAAAATCTGAGTTTGATTTTCTACATTTTATGATGGCCAAAAGTCACCGAATTACACCATCTTTATATTACTATTTCACAGTATATATTTATTCAGATACATTTGTATGTCTTCTTCGAGACACTAAAGGACTTCTAAAGTTCCTCCCTCAAAACGTTTTATTATCTTGGTTTAAATAGCTAAGTAATAAAAAAAATAATACAAAATAATAATTAGCCATTAGGTTATTTAAACAAATAAGTTTTAATTTACACGAAGGAGAAAACTTTCAGACCGTTTTGTGCCCGTGATGTCTTATGATGTGAAAAATGTCAGAGAAACACAAAATGAAACACCTTTATGTCATTATGAATTAAAAGCGTTCTTAAAATTGTATTAAAAATAACGAGACTTGTTTTATTTTTGGTTTCATTTTATTGCCTTTATATATTTTCCTTCATTATACCGTTTGTCATTTGTTATCACAAGAATTTACATCTTAAAACTAAATAACAATGTACAAACACTTTAAAGGTAACAATTCTGTACACATTTTAATCGAGGAGTTTTCCATAAATATTTTGTAGTACTTTTTATCAAGTATAACCATAATTTAAGAACAAGAGGTTTTTCTCAAAATTACTCCAACTCGAAGTGAATGATTTCCAGACATCTGTAACATACATACATGGAAATAATTTCTTACAATAAAATACATTCACAAATTGTATCCATATTTAACGCACTACATTTGACCTCGGCACTTAGGATCCCCAATAATACTTTAATAGCAAGACAATCATGTAACGTCGAATAGCTCTAATCTACATGACAGGGATATTGTAGCCTATACAAACATGGTAACTTGACACGACCTTACTGTAAATCAATTGACCTTACAGTAAAAAAAAAATTAAAAAATACATCCATCCTTCGTCTTTCGCAAACAATTACCAAAGTAGGCTACATGTTATTCTTCATTGGCCTATAAAAAACAACCTTCATTTTAGTCACATACTGGTCGGCTTACTTCAGTCACAGTGCAACACTGAATCTTAGACATGCTGAGAACATAAACCCTCATTTAGGATACTATTTACAAATCATATTTTCTTTTATATGTCGTTTTGGTCCTTAAACGTACCACTCGCTAAAATTCGACGTTAAGCTGCTGTGCCCGCTGCTGTTGAGCGCAGCTGAGTCGGGCGACATGGTGCTGTGCGTCTCCGAGCATGGAGAGATCAAACTGGATGGAGTAGAAGACTCGTACCCGGAGCTTCCAGTAGGAGAGGAGTCGACTACTGGACTTTGTTCCTCGTGAACCTACAAAAAAAAAGCATCAAACAGTTAGTTAATTCTGTCTCAACTCTGAGGCAATTAATTTGTGAACAGAGAATATCTGTCAGACGGATTCAATTCTCACCTTCATGTGTTTCCTTAAAGAGCTGGGATGTGTGTACGACTTGTCGCACAGTTTACACAGATATGGCTTGTCAGACGTGTGAACGTGCATGTGCTTCTTCCGGTCACTGCTGTTGGCGAAACGTCTGTCGCAGCCGTCGAATTCACACTGGAACGGTTTTTCCCCTGCAAGACATTTATATAGAAAAGTTTTACCACCCTGGTTAAAACTAGTTCGCAGAATGCTATTTCTACAACGACTCTCTGAAAAAGTAGGCTGACTTTGATGCTGCAAAAGGGGTGATGGCGCAATAGACCTCATACGAATCCACGCATTCAAATATAACAGCAATTCATACTTACAAAGCAACAGGCATAACTAATAAAATAACACTCTAGGATTTCTGATGTTTAACTTGCCTAGCAGCTGCTCTAGGATGCGAAACATAGCCTACGTAGACAACGTGTTGTTTTTGGTATGACTGAATGTCATTTATAGTAGTAGCCTAGATTATTCCAACAGCAATAAAACCAACTGAAATGTCAATTGAATTAAACGAAATGTAAACATTTCAAGTAATATTTTAAACAACTTTAACAAATAATCACCTGTGTGTGTCCGTTTGTGTATTTTCAAATTCTCTGAACGCGCGAACACCTTGCCACATCCCGGGAAGGGGCACGCGAAGGGTTTCTCTCCCGTGTGCACTCGAATGTGATTCACCAGTTTGTATTTTGCCTTGAAGGGCTTGCTCTCCCGTGGACAATCATCCCAAAAGCAGATGTGGTTACACTGTTCGGGGCCGCCGACATGCTCCGTGGACACATGCGTGACCAGCTCGTGCATAGTGCTATAAGTTTTACTGCAGCATTTTTTGGGGTCACCAAGCTGCTCCGGGTCGATCCATTTACAAATGAGCTCTTGTTTGATGCACTGTTGTCGCATGTAGCGGAAGAAAGCGCCGGGATGGTGCGCCATGTTCATACTCATATTTAGGCCATACTGACTGTAAGGATCGGCCCGCGCATTGGGCACTTGGTGGTACTGCTCCGTTCGCCCGAAAACCTCACCGGGTAATCCAAGGCGTCCGTTCAGGATGTTTGGAGAGCCGTGATGGGACCCGTGCTGCTCATGAATTCCGGGGAAAAGTAGGTGACCCTGACCTTCTGGGTGAGAGTGATGGAGAGGCCCTGCTGTGGAGCTGAAGATGGAGTGTTGTCCGCTACCCGGAGTCGAATCCCCAAAGCCTCGGCTGCGCAAGAGGAACTCCCTGGTGGAGTTGAAAGTGGAGCTGGCGTACGAGGCTGCGTGCGCCGCCGCGTGCACTCCAAGAGCGGCCGCGGAATAGCTGGTTGCTTGGGGCGCAAAAGCTGCGCTCTGGCCCGAGGACAAATCGGGGTGGTTCAGTTTGAACGGGCCCATGTGAGCAGATTCCATGAAACTCATATCTCTGTCCTGCGTCTCGCTCACAGCCGAGTGATGCCTTGTGAACGTGCCAACTCCTAAGCCAGAGATCTGGTGGCCGGCGTCCAGTAGCATCACCACGATTTTGTATTAAAGATGCGTAAAGGGATTACACCCGCGTTTAGAAAAAGTAGGCTATGAACAAGCTGAGTGTCTGTTACTTGCCCGTAATAAGGTTAATTAAAACTCATTCCATGTAATGAAGTTAGAGTGAAATCAAAGAAATCATTTTGATACGATGGAAAAGCTCTAAAATTTGACAAAACGTGTACATCGGTACAATCAGTGCGCCAAAGTGGAACTAGTAGCGGTTGCGCAGGTTCTCTGTGCGTCGTGTATCCAACTGAGTGTTTTTGCGCTCCTGACTGCGCTTATCTCTGGGGTCTCTCCAGGGCACCCCACGCCCCCTCACAACAGTAACCCCGTTTCCCAAATCTAAAAATCTCATTGGTCTGTGTAACTCCCAAATCCTGTTCACTCGACCAATCACACGTTTACTCACCGTGAGTAATCAGGGCTGACGGTTCTTGGTGCTCCGCCCAGTTTTATGCGTTTACGAGAGAAGAGTCTGCGCTTGATGTGAGGGGGAAAAAATCAATGAAATACAAAAAGTGCAATACTATTTTATATCGACACTTGGTTTGAATTCAGTAACAGTGTTAAACACATTGGGTTAGTGAGTTATAACATATATTTGCAGATCTCTCTTATTTACTTCTGTCAAAAATCTTTATTGACTAAACAGAATCCATAAATCGCTCGCGTAGCCTATAAGCTACAAACAGCCGAGCAGTGATATTTCCCGAGTTTAAGTTTCATTCGTGAGAACATTCTCAACCTTTTATTTTAAACTACAATCTCATTAACAGCACATCAGTAAATGTGGTTTTAATGTTTATGTCATGGGTGCATGTTTTTGGAGTGCGCGCCATTGCGTTATGGAGAACTGCGCCATGTCAGTGCTGCCTCGTCCTCGTTTTTGTATTTTGATCGGTGTTATCACCAAAATGCACAACTGCATAAAACGATAGATTTTGCCTGATTGAAAGGGTTATCGTTTTATTTTTAAATCATCTAATGAAAACGTCTCAACCATTTTAGTCTCCAGAGTAAAGACTGGTGTGCAGTTTCAGTTAATTATTTTTCCACAATGTACCGTTTTTTTTTCAACGAATAAACATATTCAGCATAAATCAGCTGTGTTAAAGTAGATTATTAATTATGTTGGCCTACTAATTTTACAATACAAATAACGTGTTATATTTTACTTATTTTTATTCATTCGAATCCGAAACAGTGAGAACTTGATGTATTAGGACATTTGATTTTTGATGTTTATGAAACTACCATATTTTAAGAGATAATCGACCTCAATGTGTTGCATTCGCATCATCTCTGACAGAATCTAGTCCAAAGCACACACACACTCCTTCTTTCCAGCGTCCCCGCAAACCAACACTTTTGTCTCTAGCTTATTTGGACAAGGGCTCAAGCCTTAAGTCTCAGAATGAGCAGTCAAAGAGAAGGAAGAGGGTGGACATGAGAGTGTTGTAAAGAGGTAAGTCACCGGCTTTGAACTGAAACTTATTATGGGGACGGATACCGCTCGGGTTGTCCTGACAACGGCGGTGAGATGGGAAGTCTCTCCATTGTGGATGAATTGCTCCTCTTCAGAGGATATCTAACCTTTAGACACATATTTACGCGGCGAGACTTGATTTGGTGACATACACAGACGAGGAGACGCCGCTATGCCATGAGTATAAAATCAACAGTGTCAAGAGGTTAAAATGGAACAACTGACCCTTTTCACCTTTTCTGGAGAGCACAGAACAACTTCATGCATATTTCAAAAACATTCACTCCACTAGTCAATTACAATATATGAGACTCACATGATATGTATGATAATAAATAAAGACATTCAGAATTTTAAATGGTTTATTTTGCTTGTATCATTTGTCTAGACTTGAATTGTATTATAAGAAAAGGAAAATGGTCAAGAGAAACGCAGCCTATATTTCTTGTCATGTTTCTCAATATGCAGTGGACGCCCTTAATGTGAAGTTTAAATGTCAGTCAAAAAATGGTCACAACAACTGACCTGTAAATGAATTCGAAATAGATTCATTAAACCAATTACCCTGAGCACGTCATCATCTATTGCCCTGTGTTTCTGTGTGAACCGTTTTGAACATCTTGCACAAGGTATTTTGATAATTTGGTTTATTAATTTCACAAAATTTTCAGCATGACACCGGTCTGTCTTGAAGCAGCAGTTTCGTTTTAAAACACTTTTCTTTTCACTAGGTATATTAAAATTAAAAGCAGATTATTAAAAAAAAAAAAGAACAATAAAAGCTGCAGTGAAATTATTTTGTTAAACAAAATCTTGTCTTGATTCATAATCCTTTTAAAATTTAGATGATTTAAATAATGGCAATTTGTTGTTAAAAAAATAAATCTCATGAAAAAAGACGTTTAGGTTTGAATAGATTGTAATAGGCTATTAGAGGTGTTTCTGCGTAACGCAAAATACTGTAACACCGCCACTCACACTTAAACAAAATCTGTTTATGTAATCTGAAATATTTCAGAGATGTGATTTATTGTATATTAGCTAATATATAGTAAGCCACATTTAGTACATTTTTACCCATTGTTGATGGGGTTTACTCAATATTGTGATAGAAATGAAAAAATGTAAAATAATAGAGTGACGCGAATGGTCTGTGAGCATTTAAACAGATCTATTCATTTTGTTTAATTAAATTTGTCTTTATTTAAAGAAAGTCTTCATTCTTTAAACAATCTTCATCAATATATTTCTATTGTATATGAATAAAGATTTAATACGTTTTTTTAGACGTAATGGAACTTTATATGTTGAACCCCCCTCCCGCATTTTCGCTGAATACGTCCGGAAGAGGTTTTGATCAATTTTCCAAATGAATTTTGGAACAGGTGGTCGCTATTTTCCACATCATCGAAGGACCAGGTTTGTGCCAAGGCTGGTCACAAGTTTTAAACAATCACAAATTCAATTTAGAATGATTTAAGTTATTCACAAAGGGTATCTGTAGCCTATATATGGTACATTTGGGTCACAGTAATGATCCCCGGATCTGTTGGTGTCTCTGACAATTACTGTGTGTGTGTGTGTGTGTGTGTGTGTGAGTGTGTGCGTGTACGATTTTGATATTGAATAAGAGGCGGAAAATGTCCTAATTACAAAATGTGTGCACACATAAACATGCACACACTTTTGTAAAGCTCTGAGTGCACAATTACTAACTACTGTGTGTGTGTGTGTGTGTGTGTGTGTGTGTGTGTGTGTGTGTGTGTAAATGAGCTCATCATTCAGTGGACTAGTCCATTTATACAACACAGAGATGCACTAATGAGCTGAATCACCCATATGCTGTTTAATGTTTCTGCACTGTCAACCAGTGAACCAGATCTCTCTCTCTCTCTCTCTCTCTCTCTCTCTCTCTCTCTCTCTCTCTCTCTCTCTCTCTCTCTCTCTCTCTCTCTCTCTCTCTCTCTCTCTCTCTCTCTCTCTCTCTCTCTCTCTCTCTCTCTCTCTCTCTCTCTCTCTCTCTCTCTCTCACTCACTCACTCACACACACGTGTGGGCAAAGTCGAGGAACCTCAACTCTAAAGCTCTGAAATTCTGTCATTCCTTTGGTTTCCTTGCTAACTGAGTGTCAGAAGATGTTGAAGTTGACTACAATCCGTGGGCAAATCAAATAAGTGACAGAAAACAAAACAGCTACAATCACAACAGCTACAGACTTGTGTAAAAACAAACAAACCTTTCCCTCGGCTGATTCATTATTGCTGGAGTCTGTGATGAATCTTACATTTGGCACTTCTGGTTTGCTGTTGGTATCAGACTCGTATGTTTGACAAAAACCTCAATAAACTCAATAAATAAATAAATAAATAAATAAATAAAAGCCTATTTGGCTAAATATTGGCATGAGACTGGTCATTTAAAAGAGGATAGAAAAGATGTCTACCTGAAATTTGAGGTGGTTTGGTTATCCAAACAGAAAAAATTATGGCGTGAATGTGGTATAACTATAATCTGCACAGATCTGGCAAATTTACATAAATAAATACCATAAAAAAAGTTTTCCATCATGACCTTCATCTCTTTTCTCTTTCTCTGCCCCTTTTTCTCAAAGACACACATACATTTTTTGAGGTTCAAACCCCAAAAGCCTCTAGAATCATTTGAAGTTGCTACTCCCCAGGAATAATGCTGCTATGGCAACCATATATATAAAGGATAGTTTGGAGGGCTTAGCATAATATATGCACTGACAGACAGGACAGAACAGAACCACTGCAGGGAGAAACAGGGAACCGTGTTTGGTCCTATTGAAAACAGTAGCAGCAGGCGTCAGCGCCTCGTCCCACCTGCGTTTCTCAGGAGTGAGCACTTTGTGCACTTGCTTTTATTAAATGTATTAATTAAACTTAAAGAGTTAAAATGTCAACTAAAACAAAAAAAATAATACACTAAAAAATGAAGGTTCCAAAAGCTGATTTCTGCAACAATGCCATAAGAACCATTTTTGGTTCCCCAAATAACCTTTCAGTGAACATTTCTTAACACAACCATTATTTTATTCTTCGAAGAAATTTTTTTGACTGTAAAGAGCTTTTTGTGTGAAAGAAAGTTTTCATGGATTTTGAAGGTTGTTCATGGAAACATCAAAGTAAATAACCTTTTTTAAAGAGTGCATCACAGTCTATTTATTAAAGTTCTTGTTGTCCTAAATGAATGTTAAATAAATGACATCATCACATAAACACTCATGAGCCAAAACATTACTGATCAAAAATTTAGGGTTGTTAATATTTTGTTATGTTTTTGAAAGTCTCCTATGATCACCATTGTTGCATTTATTAAAAAATACAGTAAAACACTAATATTGTTATATATGAATATTATATAGTAATATTATTACAAATAAAATAATCTATTTTCTATTTTAATATTTTGAAAATGTAATTTATTCCTGCGATGAAAAAGCTGAATTTTCAGCATGATTACTCAGTCTTCAGTGTCACATGATCCAGAAATCATTCTAATATGCTGATTTGGTGCTCAAGAAACATTTCTGATTATTGCCAATGTTGAAAATATTTACATATTTCATATTTTTGTGGAAACCATGATACTTTTTTCTTTTCTTTTTTTGTGAAATCAAAATTACATAATTTAATTGAAATGATTTGAAATAGATATCTTAGACATTATACATGTCTTTACTGTCTTTTGATCAATTTAATGCATCCTTTCTGAATAAAAATTTCACATTCCAAAAATCTTACACATTCCAAACTTTTGAAC